AGCCACAAGAAAATTTCAGACATATATCACCAACACCAAGCACATTGCATCTCTTATTATCAGTTAAGGAAACGTAGCCACTATCACATAATTCATATGTAGAAAACAAATCTCTAAAGGGGGACATGTGATAGGTACAACCAGAGTTAATCAACCATTCATGCTCAGACAGGGAATTTCTCACAGAATTAACATGGTCACAAACCATCAAAATATCACCAAGGTCACATTTATCAACAGCTACACTAGCATGCTCGGTCTTCTTAGGGTGGGGGCAATCCTTCATGAAATGGCCAGTGTTACCACAATTGTAACACACTCTCTTCCTAGATTTGCTCCTCTTCCTCCCAGGCTGACTAGTGTTCTTACCCTGACTATTTTGCTTAGAGTTCTTAGACATACCCTTAGATCTACCCCTAACAAACATAGCCTCACCGGAGTCCCTGGACTGACTAGCACTACCCCTAGCATGCTTCAGGTCTAATTCCTTACTCCTTAACCCATTCACCACAATGTCTAACGAAATCTCATCCCTACCATACTTAATAGCGGACTTAACATCATTATAAGAGTCGGGAATGACATTAAGTAATACTATGGGAGTATAATCGTCTATGTGTTTATCACCTGCCTGTTTGATATTCTGTATCAGTTTATTAAACACATCCAGGTTCTCATCTATATCCTTAGTCAGGTCAAGCCTAAACCTAAAGAATTTCTCTAGTAAGAACAACTTCCCGGGCAAAGAGGTATCAGTATAGAGACTATCCAATTTCTCCCACAACTCCTTAGCGGACTCAAGAATACCCACTTTCCTAAGCACAGAATCAGACAGATTCAAGTAAATAGTAGAACAAGCAGTTTCGTTCATTTCAATTTGCTTAGCCTTATCTTCTGATTCAAGGAAAATACCAGTGACAGCTCTGAAAACTTTTTGCTGTATTAAAACACACTTTATTTTCTGTTTCCAAATATCAAAATCTGTTTTTCCATTAAATGGAAGCATACCATACTGATTCACAGCCATGGTATCAACCACAAAGGAACACAAAGCTAAACAGACAGAAATGACAGAAAAATAATCCAACCCGGGCTATAAAGTATTCACTTTAATCACCCCGGGCAGCATGCAACACATAGCAAAAAAAGGACATTTGACAGTTAAACAATTCCGGCAGCAAATTAAAATTAATTAATTCTACTCCTACCACCCAATAAACCACCCCTAGCATAACAATTAAATTAAATAACACTTAGCAATTTAATAATCAAGTAAAACAATCAACCACAAAGGAGAGGGTTTAGGACGTACCTGGGGGGTTGGCGGCCGGGATTAAATCAACCGGCGGCCCGCGGGGAGGGGGAATAAATTAAATTAAAACCGGAATGCTATAAATAGGAAGTTTATCGGAAACTTACCTTTGCGAAACCTTAGGAGAGCGTTTCGACCTTACCTACCCAATTAAAAAAAATTGGGATTTTTCTGGAGGGTTGACCGGCGTTGACTGGCGGTTGACTGGTGGTCCAGCTCCTCAGCAGTCCAGGTCAGCAAACCTGCTCCAGCCCAAGACAGTAGTCCAGCTCCAGCCCAGTCCAACTCGGCCCAGCAGTCCACTTGCTCAGCAACAGCTCCAATTCAACAATCCAGCAGTTCACTAGCACCAGCCCAGGTCCAGTCTCGCCAGCCCAAAACAGCAGCCCAACTCCAGGAGTGCACAAGTCCACATGCAAGTACAACGAAGAGGATCCGTCTCTGCTTTCTGCGACCCGCGAGAACAAGCTTCAGACGCGGAACCTGCGACAAAGGCCGACGAAGGAAGACCGGCGACTTGCCAGCCCTCTGGCCAGCGCTCTGCTCCGGCGACGAACAGAGAACTCTGGCGGCGACTCCTCTGCAACAAGCGGCGAGCTTCCAGGTGGCGAGACGGGGCTCCAACTTCCGGCGAGCTTCCAAGCGGTGAGACGAGGCTCCAACTTCCGGCGAGGGTTTCAAGCTTCAGTCAGAGGTCTATTTCAACCTCCAGGCAGCTAATGGACAACGGTGGAAAGACCACAGTGTGTAGTCTGACCTTTTGCGAGCTCGAATCGACGGCGGCGGCGGCGGACGGCGGCAGACGGCGGCGGCGGCGGACGACGGCGGCGGCGGACGACGGCGGCGGCGGCGGACGACGGCAGACGGCGGCTCCGGCTCTGATACCACTGTAAGGATCGGATTCCTTCCGTCTCCGGCTCAGGTCTTTCTACACATACTCTCACACACCACACTTAGGAGGAGGCTATAGCACACAAGATCAACTCTCCACAAAGGACCTCTCTTTACTCTCACACAAAGGAAAGGAAGAAGAAAGGGAGTCTGCTCTCTCAAGATAGAATCTCGCAGGCTGCTTCACAATGGGAGAAGCAAGGACTACAAATAGGCAGCCAAGGAAGTCACGGGTGAGGTTAATACAAAAGGCACTCACATGCTTCTTAGACAAAGGATAGTCACAAGCATAGACCAAGACAAAAGATGGATGCAGCGGACAGAACACAAAGGGGCCAGCCAAGTGGGAAAGTCAACCACTCAAAATAGGTATATATTTGATCAGGATATATACCACAGTAAAGATATCCAAGAGAGAGTAAAATAGAGTGTGCAAGCCTCAACAAATAAAGTGGAAGGGAGGCCTTGGTAGGACCAATACCTCCAACAAAGCTTAACTGGAATTGGTCAACTAGATCGTTCCATTTTATATGAAATGGGACAGGAGAATTAATATTTATCGGGAATGAGACTGAAAGAGCTCTGAATAGTTGGTGGACATATTTTCTGAACAAAAATGATGTATGTACCCGGAGGCGGACCCACTAAGGGTCCCACGGGTCCCGGGACCCCGTGGACTTCGAAAAAATTACCTATATATTATACGTAGTATATATTTTATATAAAACTAATTGGGGAATGTATATATACAATAACAACGACTAGGTATGCAAAAGACCGTAGTAGTGGAACGGTAGGAAACGTGGGTTTGAGGGTTTTATATATATTCCCAGCTTCTCCTTGCTTACCTCCCATTTTTTTATTGTTTCTTTTTTTTATTTGCATATTTTTTGTTTGGGATGAATTAAAAAGCTTTCTTTAAATGTTAAGATTAAATTAATACTACGTACTACCTCCGTTCTCTTTTAGTTGCAACATTGAACTTTTTGCACTATTCATATATTCTACTTTGACTATATTTCATTTATTAATGTATTATAAACTGAATTTTTAAAAAAATATTGTTAAATTATTCTCATTCTAAAATTTCAAAATATAATTTTTTAAATTTTTTTACTAATAAGGAATGAAAGATATTAATGCTCAAACTTGTGTCTTGACAAACGTGAAATGTTGACTGTTGCAATTAAAGGGGAACGGGGGAAGTATATTTGTATTTATAAACGTTATTTTCAATATTATATGAATTAGGATGAAAAGATATTTCGGTATTGTACTGAGAGTTAAGGAAATTCAGAGTTCAATAGTAGTTCAGATATTCATTCAAATGATTTGTTATTAGTAAATGAAGAATTGGATCAGGTAATTCCTGAAAGTGCAGCTAATTTATCTGATAATCTACCTGAACAACATGTTGATTTGATATCTTTGGAAGCTGATCCTGTAATTTTTTGCTTTATGCTCCCTCTGGTTCTTAATTAACTTGACACTTTGACTTCACACAGATTAAGAAATTTTACTGTAAAGTGCACTGTTTTGCACTGTTTTGGTGTAGAAAAAGAAGTGTGAAGTTTAATATGGGACAGTCTAAAAAGAAAAGTGTAAAGTTAATTAAGAACCGGAGGGAGTAATATTTTAATGTTTTGATGATGTAAGTTAACTATGAAGTACTATGCTAACTTCTTTAATACTCCGTATTTTTTTAATAGTTTTTTTTATTAATTAGAGATACGCAAGGGTAGGGACCCCGTGCCTCCGACTTTCTGGGTCCGCCACTGTATGTACCCACTCTTATACACACTTTTGTACCCACCTATGTTTGTGAAGTGTTTTTTTAGTCTGTGAACTCCGATCCACAGACAATATTTTGCACAAACAAAATATTGTCTGTGAACCGAGTTCACAAACAAACAAAAACACTTCATAAACATGGTAGGTATAAGAGTGGGTACATCAAACATTGTTGTTTTTCTGAAAGTACTTTATGCATTAAGATTTTTGTTTTGATATCATACTGTTAGTATATTTTAAATGTAGTTTTACGCGTGTTTGACCAAAAAATCAATCCTCAAATATAAGAGTGTTTATATGATGTGTTGAATAAACAGTTTGAATCGAGTAAAACAATTACGTAGTAATTTAGTACGAGTAGTATTCTTGAGTTATAATGTTAATGATAAATTTCATTTTAAAATCAATCTATTCCAAGATTTTGACTATCATTTTGTATAGGAGAAATCTAGACGTCTTAAAGGGTTCTCATTTTGTATAAATGAATGGTGGAGACAAAATAGATATCTTAATAGACGTTCTCATTCAAATTGCCCTTGTTTCATTCTTATTTCAAGATTTTTTTAAAACTTATTTGTCATTTTTATTATTAGTAAGAGAAGGAAAAATAAAAACCCAACAATTTTTTCCTGATGACTCCATTCTGGCTATATGGAATAATTGAAATAGAGTTGGTATATACGGAGTATAAAACGTTTTTAAATGTAGATATTTTATTCACGTATAGTTACCTTTATAATTAAAACTACAAGCCTTAGCTAGCTTGTAAAAAAAAACATTATTACTATAGAAATTTCTAAAAGTAATTTTTTTGAAGGAACTCAAAGTAATTTAATTATTCTTACGTACTATTAAAAAAAAACCACCAATAACTTTTTTTAAAGGTTAATTAAGATTCGATTGAAACTAGCTTGAGGTTGGGGTTTGTTCCTTTGCATTTCATCATTAATGACGTTTTCCACCGCTTATATATTAGGATTAGAAGGGAGGTCGAACCAAGTTTGCTAAATAAATCATTATTGTTGGCGTAATATATTGTTATTATACCTGAAAGCGAATTATAAAATCGCACGTACATTTCAACCTACCTATAAAATCACACATTGTAAAATCATTATTGTTAGTGTAAATATTCACTATGATTACAGTGGGCGATGTCTCATATTCTATTTCTCCATTTGATCATTCATCATCTTCCTCTCAACAGGTGCCTTTAACATTTTGACAATTATTTTAATTTTTAGTTTTGTTTCTTAGAATGCACATACATTAATTAATTTGTAAGTTTACTTGAAGGAATATAATACGGAGTGTATGTAGGGCAAATAATTTCTCTTTTCTAAATAAATCTCAATCACATAGTTTTCATTTTTCAAACTTCAAATTAGGCAATGATTGAACGAAACAAATAATATTACTGCGTATTATGTAAGGTTAAGCGCAAGATCAATGTAGATTAAAAATTAACATGGTTATAACTTTAGTTTAAATATGAATTTATCATATGATAATCTATATATTTTTTCTAATAAAAGTAAAACTCATTCAGTCATAAAAAATAGTTAATTAATTAAGTAGTCAATAAGAATACTCAGTTTTATCCGCTCTACAAATATATTTGAGGATTGATTTTTTGGTCAAACACGCGTAAAACTACATTTAAAAATATACTAAAAGTATGATATCAAAACAAAAATCTTAATGTATAAAGTACTTTTAGAAAATATGTCCACCAAACTTCTAAGTTATATTTCATTTGAAGATGTGTGCAGGGAGCGGATCAGGTACAAACTATGTTAATTATGCAAACGTTTTTAAGATACATCTTTACGTTATTCAGCCACAAAATAGCAATTGCATATCAACGTTCAAAAAGTTGCATCATCAAAAAAATTGTTTTTATTACATACAATAGTGTCAACTCATAGGATGATCAAAAAGAGTTTGTAGTTTGTAAATTAAAAAGGGTTGTATTTGATCTGTATTATACATATAGAGAGAGAGAGGGAACTTGGATATAATAAAAAAAAAGTTTTAACGTGTAAAATAAAAATTAATCTCAGCAGTCCAAAAAGTCAATATATACACAACAATAACCCTTATCTAAGGGCATCCCCATCCATAAATTATTTTTGGGATCATTTTGATGATGTGGAGGATTTTTTTTTGGGATCATGGATGAAGAGTTGGGATTATTTTATAAGATTATTTGATAAAATAATCTGGTATCAAATTCTAAAGTTGAATTATTTTGAAATTATTTCCAACTTTTAGACTCCTCTCTCCATTTTCTAGGCATATACTCATAATTAAGGTGATGACTAGCTTTGTAGAGATTTTGAAATTGAGTGCATGTCTCATAAAAAATCCAGGTAAATTAAGATCATGGATGAAGAGAAATTGATAGGTTTGAAGATTATTTGAGATAAATCTTATGTGGAAGTGACATGACATTAAGAAGTCATAAAAAACCGTAAACTTGAGTATCATGAATAAAGATGCTCTAATGTTCTTATGGAAAAATCTTATCTAATGCACTTTTATTAAAATATCTTCTCATTTGAACTCAACCCTCCTATATTGTGTAATGTGTGTGGATATGCGAGCTAGTCAACTAACTCTTTCCTCTATTAATTACTAGGAAAAATGGTCAAATGAGCCCATATACTATTGTTAAAACATCATCTAGGTCCATGTACTAAAAAAACAACCTTCAATACAAGGTTACCATCAACTAAATCCAATGACCGGAAAACGACCTCCAATACAAGGTTACCTCATTTATCTTTTCTTTTTCACTTTTTCTTCTCTTGCTACGCACTGCTTCGATTGTTTTACTTTTTTTTTGGGTTTTATTTTTTCCATTTTTCTTCTCTTTCAAGCTTGGCCTAGCTATCTAGCTTCTTGTTGCACCTATTTGTTATCTTTATTTTTCTTTTTCTTCATCATACAGAGTATTATTTTATGTTTCCAACGATTTGTTTTTTTATTTCTTTCGTCTTTTTCCATTGTTTTCTTTTTTATTTGTTTTCTTCCACAAGAAATATTTCCTGACATTTCTTTCTAATGATTTCAGTAGATTATCTTGACTCGTAAGTATGCTCATTTTTGGAAAAAGTTAGGAAGGTAATTGATAATATTGAAACTTTTATATTGAGAGAAATCACAATTTTAGTCCTGTAGTTATTATTGCTCATATTGCTCATATTGATACCAAGTATTACTCTTAAAGGCCGTTTGATAACACTGTTTTTCGGCTTATCAACCAACTTTTTCACCAAGCACGTAACTTTTGTTTTCGCGCGCTGAATTATGTAATAATAAGAAAAAGTATGGTTGAAGTTACTTTTCTTGCTGTATTGGCTGAAGTTACTAAAGATGACCATTTTAGCTATTTTTACATATAATTTTTTTTCTTTATTTTATTAATAAAATATATTTTAAAGATATTTTTTCTTCAATCAGCAGAATCAGCCAATGCAGCCGAATCAGCCGATTTTCGTGTTACCAAACGGACTCTTAAAATTGAGTTACCATCGTTAAGTATTTGAAATATTGACACAATTAAGGTTGTAACTTTAAACTCGGTAAAACAATACACATTTTGTACACATTTCTTAAATTCTTCGCAAATTACAAACTAGGTAAAAAAAATTGTACACTTGTTATGCACATTTTTAAACAAATCGTATCAGCAATTTTAGTCAAAGTAAATTTTGGCCATAGACAAATTAAAACGTCGATTGGAGAAGTCAAACTTTAATGACAACAAATGTCCACGATATAAAAAATTGTACATTTTTAGCCACACATTTCTCATTTATTAAAGTGGAATTTTCATATTGATATTTTTTTTTATTTGTTCTCTAATTTAACAAATAAAACTATTGGTACCGACATTTTTTGTGTATATTTGTTTGTATGAAAATTTTGAATGTGTAAAATATTTCATAATTTTGTTGTTGTTGTATGAAACTCTTGTGTATCTATTTCAGACATTTATTATCTATAAAGTTGAATTATTTTAAACAATTTTTTTTTATCTGTGGTCTAACTTTCCAATTGAAAATGCGATATTGTAAGTGTGAAAGAATTTGAAAATGTGCACACAAGTACACAATTGAGTTTTTGGAAGGACGCATAATTAATGCAACAAGAACAAAAGGCAAATCATGTTTTTATTTGAACTAAAAAAAATAGTACTGATTGTTCAAATCTCATTTGATCTAGTTTAATAAACATTTGATTTTTGTGTATTTTACTATTATATATGTTTGAGCTGATATTAGGATGTTTTTATTTGGAATGTTATTTTCTAGTCTGGTCTGATATGTTTAAGTCTGGTCTGAATTGGTTTGGTCTAGTAAATGTCTGGTTTCTGTGTATTTTATAACTATAATATTCAGGCCTGATTTGGTCTGGTCTGGTTTGTTTAAGTCTGGTCTGGTCTGGTCTGAAACTGAAAATAGTCCAAGAAAGAACACCCTTATTTGTTTAAATCTGATGTTGTCTGGTTCGCGATGGAAACTAATTCAACTATATTTATTCCAATAAAGAAGAAAAAAGAAAAAGCTAAAAGAACACTAAAAGCAAAAAGGAAAGGGAAATGCAAAAAAAAAAAAAAGATAAAAATGAAAACAACGTGTAGGGGAGAACCGGAGAATACATGTAATTTAGATAAAAGAAAAAAGAAAAAATAGAATGGGGGTTGCCGGGTTGTAGACTTATAGACTTGTAGGGGGGAACAGGAAGGAAGTGAAGTAAAGAATAAAGAAAAGAGAATAAGAAAGTGGATGACCGGTTAATACAGGTTGCTATTAGGTCATGGGGCCTGGTTGATGGATTTTTGAGAGTAGATATGTCTATGTGATCCTTTTTTAAATAGAGGGGTTTAAGTGATTTTTTTTGTAATAGTAGAAAGGTTTATTTGATCATTTTTCTTAGAATATAAATTAATTAAAGTTGGGGAGCCATTTTTGTGTTTCTCTAAGCAGGGGAAAGATATCTTGAGGACACTAATGCAAAATCCTGGTTTGAAACGTGTTTCTCTTGCATTTGATTACACCCCGGGAGGTCTATTTTCTCTTACCAATAATGGTGGTTTCTTGATTACACCACAAACTAAATCAGTCTTTATTCTTCAAAAAGAGTATGCCACTGTCGATCCTTCATTTGTTGACGTAAGTTTTACATCTTCTACCCCATCTTATGTTGCTCATGAAAAATTAAAATGTTTTCGTACATTTTTTGAAAGGAAAAATGCCAATCTATATTAATGTAATTAATGAAAGTGGAAGAACTAAACATGGAATTTTCAAATACGGTATCACAAGTGTCTTTCACATAATAGTCGACGGACTAAAAATGGAAAAAGTCAAAATCGAGTATCAAGTGTTAGTAACATAATAGTTGGAGTACTAAAAGCAACAAATACTCTTACTAACACAGATCATTTCCCATAATATGACTAATTAATGAGATTTCCCATAATATGACTAAACCACTTACCTATTGTAATTCATAATAATAAGATATACCATAATATGCCTCTTACAAATGGATATAGACGTGCACAACCATATCATTTCCTACTATTTTGGAATACATGCTTCCATCTAAAACGTAGGAGCTGTGGGATTAAAAATGTTAGTAATAAATACTCATGCACGTACCCGCACGGGTAGCTCAACTGGTAAAGCGGTGAGAAAGTTGGACAAATAACCAAGGATCAAATTCTGCAGACTCCGTGTGGAGGTCACAGCTCCTATGTGCTGGACTGGGACTCTGGTGCGCACAGATATAAGGTTTATCACTGTTAGGATTGGTTGAGTCACCGTGATTTAGAATCTCCCATGTTCTCTGTCTAATCGGGTCGGGGCGTGGGGGCCTTGGGTTAGGGATTCAACGTTTTTAGACAAAGTTGGACAAACTCATGCACATATTATTGTGAGAAAAAAACTCATGGACGACATTGGGAAATGATTTGGTGTTTTAATCATATATGAGAGATAATTTTCTCAAAAGTAATCAAGTAATGGAATTTTCACTTTTGCATTTCTGGGAATCTAAAACTTACACTACTGGAGGAATGTTCAGGTCCGAATATTCCTGGTCTGAACACCGTCCGAACTTGCCCGTTTGGGGCACTTCCCGGTGGAATTTTTTGATGAATTTTTTTGAGCATGTTCCTCATCAAGTCTAGTTTGTCCATACCAAATTTCAGATCAAAATTCGATCGGGAAGGTATTCAAATCATTTTTTGAAGTTGACTGCGTTTTTCATATGTATATTTTGATGCAGTCAACTTCAAAAAATAATTTGAATGCCTTTCCGATCGAATTTTGAGCTGAAATTTGGTATGGACAAACTAGACTTGATGAGGAACATGCTCAAAAAATTTCATCAAAAAATTCCACCAGAAAGGCGGAAAGTGCCCCAAACGGGCAAGTTCGGACGGTGTTCGGACCAGGAATGTTCGGACCTGAACATTCCTCTACACTACTGTTTCAACTTTTACAATGCTCGGAATGAATAAGGTAAGAATGGAACCTTAAAAATAATTACTTCAACTTTAAAAAATAACCGAAATAGAAACCAAAGAAGTATATGAATTGAATATCCTAGGCTCCTGGCTAACACATCAACCTAACCGTTATATGTAGGGGTGGACTCGGGCCGGTTCGGGCCCGGTTCGGGCCTGGGCCCGGCCGGGCCTCGGGCCAGAAAAATAGGGCCCGGGCCCGAACCGCCGGTGGGCGGTTCCGGTTCCGGTTCCGGGCCAAACCGGGCCGGGCCGGGCCGGGCCAACCGGTCTATTATTTTTTTTTTTTTTGGTTCTCCTTTTTAACCCCCTACCCCTCCCCCTCAACCCCAAACCACCTCAAATGGCCCAAAATACCTAATCCAACCCAAAACCTAAAAAAATTTCAAAAAAAAAAAAAAAAATTAAAATCCGGCCCGGACCGGGCCCGAACCGGCCGGGCCGGTTCACCAAATGGAGGGCCCGGGCCCGGAACCGGTATCCACCGGGCCGGTTCGACCCGAACCGCCGGTGGACCGGGCCACCGGGCCGGGCCGGTTCACACAGTAGCCGGGCCGGGCCGGTTCCGGTTCGGGCCGCCCGGCCCGAGTCCAGCACTAGTTATATGAATGCTCTATGCATCGTTTTGCCGGGCCGGGCCGGGCCGGGATAAAATATTAAAATGTTTTAGTATACTCCAGCAACTCATTTAATTAATACAGTTCACACAAATATAAAAGCGAAAAAATTATTATATTAATTCATTTAATTACTACTACGTATCTATCTATTTTTTTGTCTTTAGATTAGTGCATGTTGACCGGCCAATAATGCTTGTACATATTGTTCACCGGCCAATAATACTCGTACATATTGCTCGTTTATATATTAGTCATGTGACTAATATATAAACAATATGCATATTGTTTTGGGGAGATTTTGCAATTTTAGCTAGTCATGTAATTTTGGTTGTTATTGTTATTGGTCTTGTAACTTTAATCACTTGCAAATTTGGTCCTGTAACTAATAAATCTTTGCAATTTAAGGACTTTTCCACCAGAAAGTACAGTACACTTTCTGGCAAAAAAATACTACGCCAGCAACATCTTTTCTGATATATATACTATTGTCGGAAAGTGTACGTTCAAGGAAAAAGTCCTTAAATACGTAGTAAAAAATATTGATTAATTATAGGATCAAATTTGCAAGTGACTAAAGTTGCGGGACTAATAATGAAAATGACCAAAAGTTACATGACGAGAATTACAATTTTCCCTACTCCTCTTCATCTTATATATATATACTTCATATATTAGCTGCTTAGCTAACAGTGATACTTTCTTTTTGATATGTGTATGAAAAGGTGGTTGGCACTCACGGTATGTCAACCTGTGTAGGTCTCATCATTCAAAACCCTAAAAGTGGAAAGTAAGATCCAAAACTTACTTAACTTCAGCTTACTGTAAATATATTGAATTGGAGCTAGCTAGTTTCATGTCAAATTGTGTCAAGCTAGTAAATGTCTGTATATCCCTAAATGTGTTATTTAAATTTCATATGCATTATATATTTGGTTGCAGGATATCTGTTGCTCATATAGATGTGCTAGGTGTTATTGAGCTTGGGATAAACCAAATGTTGTCTTCCGTTGATGATCAAGATATCAATGACATGACCAATTTGAATGTATGAATTAACATTAAGATAATGAATTTATGAGTATAATACTACATCTACTCCATAATGTAAGGTACATGTGAGTTTGGTACGAATGTTAATAAAATAAAAACTAAAATACTTCGTTTTACCGGTATATCCTCCAAAAAGTAAAAAAGAGTAAGATGAGTGTACAAAAAGCAAAAGGTAAAATGATATATAAATGCAAAGATAAAGTAGAGAAGTAAAAAGTTAGTGAAAGAAAATGTTATATTTTTCAGACAATGCTAAAAGAAAAATACATCTTAATTACCAGATGGGATAGAGGGAGTATATATTTACATTTGTGTATGGTATATGCTAAATAGATCACAAAAGTTTATTATATTGAATTAACCTTCCAAGGATATGATGAATGCAGGTGCATTTAATTGGTGGTTACAATGATGAACCAGAGTGGGCAAATGTATGTCATATGACTAATTGAGTTGCACGTGTCCTATCTTTGTTCCATAAATTTTCCCTGAATTTATCTTTTTTACGTCCCTAATTTTGTCTCAAGTTACATTTGATAATATTTTAATGATGAAATTCATTATTACCTTGTTCACACTTGACCAATTTAATATCAATCGTCAATTCAATTTTTCTTAATAATTATATCACTCACTTTTGTCTCAAACTTTGAGGACTAAGGTAAATAGATAGTATATCATAAACTAATTTTTATATAATACTCCGATCCAGACAAAATGTACTCGGTAATTAAACCAATAATAATACTTAAATGAGTACATACTATAAGAGTTTGAAGCCTTGAATTTCACCCTCCTTTTATGAATAATGCACTACTTTGATATCATGATTGTATATAACTATTAGTCTAAACCATAAGAAAGTTTGAAAATTTACGAATTGAGGCGATTTAAGAACATTTTATACAATATGGTTTAATTTCAAGTTTATTCCGCACACAAATATCAAATTTCAAAGACGATGAATGAATGATATATGAATCAGTGCATCTTATATGTGATATATTATTATATCAACGCCCATCATGTGTGCGTATTATATACGAAGTATGCTATATGGTAAATGCTACAATACTCATTAGGGCTGCACAAGAATAACTCGAACCCGCATAACCCGCCCGACCCAACCCTACCCGACCCTATTTAATCGAGTATTTGATTTTAAAAAATATTCATGGGTTAAATATGTTTGAACCCGCACCTAATGGGTAGGGTTGCGGAATTAAAATCTCAAACCCGATAGTACCCAACCCGGCCGAAGTTCATTTTACTATTATTATGCTACAACATTTTCTTGGATAATTTCAATTTAAGACCAATGTGCACTATCTAAGACTTTATGATATTAGAATTATAATTAAACATTTATCATTTTGATTAGGTGATTATTATATATTTACGTTTCCTTCCAAATGAACTTCCTTTACGGAAGGATGAAATACTATTACCTAATGTTTTTGCTTATAAAAGATACGACCTGAGTACTTGTATTTGTTTGTGTGTTTTGGAAACAAGTTAATTGAGTTTTAAATTGGTTACATTAATTTCTCACATGAAAGATGCAACCCGAAGTGATTTTTTTTCCCAATACCCGACCCTACCCGACCCGTTCATGCATGGTTTACCAACTTATTTTGCGTATCGCGGGTTGGTTAATAGCCAACTCGAACCAATCGGGTAGGCCCAAAAAATATAGCAAACCCGACCCAATCCGCCCGATGTGCAGCCCTAATACTCATCAAGAAATTGAGGTACCATATGTATCATTCATGTGATCGATTGTCCCAATTCATCATTTATTTGTATGTTTAAATTATTGAATTGCAATATCATAATTGATTCAAGTCGACAACTCGACAAGATAGATAACTAGCTTAAGGTGTGTATCGTCATAGAATTTGTCATGTTATAATCAATCTCTGGATATATTAATATTACGTATATATATATACACGTGCAGCATGAAGATCAGGAAAAGCGAGAAGGAGTGTCTTTCCCCATTTGTTCCAAGATAATTGAAGTTCTGTGCAAGAGCACCAAAACTTTCCATCTTCGAACTTTGCATGTTCTTGATCACAACACAATATATGATGGACAAGGAATAGGACACCCCAAATTTGGAGGTTTTCTGGTAATTTATTTGAGCACACACATAGGAGCATGGTAGCAGATCTCTCTAATTACCCGACTTTTATACAGGATATTTCCAAAAAAATTACTACAATAAAATAAATTTATATATAGAAATGTAACTAAAGAGACTATATATAAACACTCTTAACGTCACTCCAATGTAAAATTTGAAAACAATTATAGTTACTAAAAGTTACGAAATCATATTTTTGTGTATTATTCATATTTTAGTGATATATTTAGACATATAATTAACTTGGATGAAATGGAATTGTAGTTTAGAAATGTGCATCGACAAGATTCATGCACGTGGTGGTATTATTGTAATAAAATGTGCATTAATTAATATGAACTAGAATATGCATCGTTTTGGATCATTCCAATTTCTCAGGGAAAGATAATGAACAATAGAATCAGATTTTATATGTATACATAAGTATATATGTACGTGCACACATGGTCTGATTCCAGTGGGAATAAATATTCTCATCGTGAGAAATAAGAGTAATGCAAAAAGTCCACATCGAGATCCAAGTTCATGGATTTGCACATTTTTGTATATGATAATGCAAACTGTTCAACCGTAGAAAAAGTTCACATTATTTACAAAAAAGTCATAGCATTTTTCATTCATGTTTGTGCACAGTTCTATTAGAGAAAATGCACAATTCTCAAGTTCAATGCTTTAGATTTATTCTTATTATTTCTCTCACGAGATCATTGTCTTGTTTGATCCAAATTTCACACACAATATCATATTAGTTTAATCTAGCTTTATATGATCATAAATACGTAGTACATTTTAATTAAATGACAATTGGGCTCATAATAACGAACAAACTAAGTTAGCATGGATTTGATTGGCATGGATTGATCGAGTTTGGCACGAATCATAATATATTTTGCGTGCCAAATAGCTGGTGAGAAAACGACATTGCTACGAAATTTGGCACAAATTTGACCTATCCGTGCCAAATACTATGTGAACTTTTTCCGAATCGGTGGACAAGGCTCTGCCAGAATCATTGTTTTTTTGTAGTGGCAGTTTTGACTCTATATCGTTGGCTCACTCATGTGCATATTTTCATATTCAACCAAGGTTGAAACTGGGGTTGGGTCAATATTTCCGGCCAAGTTTGATGAAACCACAAAAGGTCCAGATGAAATGGTTAGAGAAATTCGGAGACTATGTTGCGATAATGACCCAAGGTGGGAGGGTAGGTTGCTCGACACTTATGATAATCTATCAGACCACTATGTTATTGCTCCTTGCTCTTGGTACGTACCTAATTAACCAACCTTGATTGATTGAATAAATTCTCTAATACATACACATAAATAGGAAGAGTTCAAATAAAAACTATTCTTCCCGTACAAAGTGCGAAAATTGCACTTTTACACGTTTCGTTTTTACTTTTGCTTATTTTCGTTGCACTTTTTCACGGTGGCGAAAAAAATTGGTTTATTTTCAAAACTATCATCGTGGTTTTGGCCGAATTTACCCAAAATCGCAAAGGCGAAAAAATGTTACGGAAACACAAAAAAGTGTAAGCAAAACGTGTAAAAGTGCAATTTTCACACTGTGTGGAAAGAGTACTTTTTATTTGAACTCTCCCCTATATATATATATATATATATATGTGCGCGAGCGCGTGCATTGTGTGTCACAATGCATGTGTGTTATGTGTATCACACGATATTACATAGATAAAAAACAAAACATGCACCCTTTATTTTAATATTTGTCAAAACACAACGCCACCATTCACCATTATTGTATATCTTTTACATGTGGACTAAACTAACACTTAATAATTGTTTTATATAGATTAATTAAAGTGCACTACTTACTAGGATATACGTTGTATTTTTATAATTTCATAAATAAAATTTATTTGACCGTGAAAAAGGAAAACAATTTACTTAAATTTATTTTGTAAACATATTCAATTATTAGGAGTGACTTGAATAAATTGATGGTTCTATTTGTACACTAGCTATGTATTTCGTAAACTTAGCTTGTTCCCTAAACTTATATAATTTACTAGCTTTATGTTTCAGTCCTAAGCTATTTAAAGGATTTTCTCATTAAAAACATATACTTTAGGCTTTAGCTAATACCATTTGTTTTTATACAACTTCTCAACGATAACTATTTAAGTAAGAGTTGATAATATATACAGGGTAGCTATGTATGAGTGACATTTTTAACTCTCAATTTTTTTTTTCATTTGTAGTCCTTTGACCATTGTGTCAAAGACACTTGTAGTTATCGAATTCAAAATTCCCTAATTTAGTATTGTCATATTGACATTTTTAGTCCTTTCACTATTATTTTGCCACAAGAAGTGAAAGGCTAAAAATGTACTACGATAATAGTTGAATGATCAAAAGTGTGACTTTTATGAAAGGGAAAGAACTAAATACAGGGAATCTCTGAGACAGATATCAAAAGTGTTTCTCATACAATAACCAAGAAACTACAAGTGAAAAAAGTTCAAAGTCAAGTACCAAGTGTCAGAGACGTAATAGTTGAAAGAGGACTAAAAGTTGCAAAACATATGTTGAGATGAGTCCATTTGAAGGGTTTTGATCTCGTTAGAAAGATCCTACTGGCTTCTAAAACTTATATTCAGACTACATTTACAAATCATTAAAAGTGTGTAAAAAAATCACTAAATGTTATTACTCATTTAATTAATAAAAGGGGAGATTAGCACAAGAATTAATTACATAAATGTTGTTTACAAAAACATGATCTCCTAAGTACTATAGTGATCATAATAGTAATTTAATCAAGGTAACTTTACTCTACTTTTACACTTAAGTTACTATGAGATCATAGTAATATAGGTAACTATTAGTTATATACGAGTATATTTTTGTAAATAAGTTTCATTTCAGTAATATTTTGAAAAACAGTTGTAATGCTCGTCAGTTCTGTGTATTCATTTTATTATGATTTGTTGGACCTTCTTATCGATCAGTTTGACAATGTCAAGTATATTTAATCTGCTGGCTATTCAGTTAATTATTTCCCTAATATTTGCTTCATTATTTCGTTACTAGGGGAATTAAGGGAGCAGAAGGATTTGGATGGTTTTTGAGTCTATCTGATCGAGAGTTTGCCGATAACTATTATTTCACACCTCCAGCTGTCTTGAATCTTAACGAAATCAATTATTTAAGAGGGTAGGTAAATAAGATGCATTTTTAGAATACAATATGCAAGTACCTATATTCAATAAAAAGAATATATTAGAAATTCTAATGTTTTAGATAATGTTTCAAAAGTATTATACTACGTATAAAGTATAAACTTTGTGCACATTCTCATATGACGCTCAAACATATATAAGCAAGATCAATCAAACTTAATTCATCTTATATTTAAATAAATCATAAACGATAGAGAGAGTCTAACGTTCAAGAGACAAGTATGCAAAGAATTTTAAAACATTTTTTGAACTACATTTAAAAAATTATTGATAACCGGTAGGAAGGATGACAATGTAAAAAAATACATACAAATACACACACACACACACACATATATATATATATATTTTGGTTCAGGTGAGAAATGCATATAATGTGAGAAATGAGAATGAATCTCAACCGTTGGATTTACGAAGTTGCACTAAAATTGGCTTTATGTTGCAGTAATATTTAAATTTTGCACATGATGCACTAAAACTGTTTCATGTTGCACTAATATTTGACGGCGTTGCACCGAAATAGCTTCATGTTGCACTAGACACGTGTAGTACGGATTTTTCATAAGTATTTACAGAAATGCCACCGTGCTAGATTGCATATTTCAGTGCATCATGAAGTGTCTTTTATTGCAACTTAGTCGAATCCAATGACTGAGATTCATTCTCATTTCTCACCCAAAGGGTTCTTCTCACTTGAACCTTACCCTATATATATATATATATATATATATATATATATTGGGATGAGTATACCGAGGAGAAAAAATGGGGTTAGCGGCTCCTATTTGCCCCTGTACCAAATAAAACTCTTTGTTTAAAATATACTCACTACATCCCATTATACATTTCATACTTTCGTTTTTGAGGTTTTTGAAAACAGGTGTTATGTTTCCTTTTTTAGAAAACATGTATGTGGCCCACCGCATTTACGTTCGATCATAACTTCTACTTTTTCAGTATTTTATTGATAATTGTGTCAAAAAAAAAAAATACTTCGTATTAATAATTGTGTGAAACCAAAACAAGACATATAAAATGGGATGAAAGTAGTATTATACTACATCCGTCAAAATTTACAGAAAAATTCAGAAGAATAAAAGGCGGCATGGCATGAGAACCAGATCTCAATCCAGAGATTTTCCGTGGGACTAGTTATTTTTTAGATGTTTCCACTGTTTTTCCTTTTGTGCTGCTTTTCTTTCCTTTTTCGTCACTTTGTACTGTTTTTATTTTTATCAATAAAATCCCCCTTTCCTTAAAAAAACTACATCCGTCACACTAACATTGGGATATGAGGAGGTCATACAGTTATTAGGAAAAGTGAATTTTTGTGGCTGATATTGAATGAATTAAGTAAAATTAAAGATAAAAATTATTTAGAACCACACATATTTTACCAATTAAGTTTGTTATGAGCTAATCAGGATAGATCGAAGAGAAAAGATTAGACAATTTTAACAGGACAGAGAGAGTATTTTAGACTAAAACTCCTCTACTTTCTAAATCTATGACCTAACTAATTTTTTTCCCAAAATAATATTTAAATATATAAAATTTAATTAATTTCGTAATTAATTAATTAATTAATAATTTTTATGGACTAATATACCCTTTAGGTTATACTTATAAAACCCTAACCTTCCACCTCTTTTCTTCAACACTAGCCTCTAGTCTCCAACCCTAATCGCACGGCCGCCTTCTATTCTCCGACTCGCCGCCCGACCGCCGCCGTCCAGTAGCACTACCGCCATCTTATAGCGCCGCCGCCTAGCCCCTCACCCCTTCCTCTCGCCTTCCCAAACCACACACGACTCCCAGAGCGTAGCTTGCCTTGTACCGTCATTGATGCCCTGATGTCGTAGGCCAAGGAGGCGCACTGGTCCATGGGCGGCCGCAACTACAACCACCACCGCCTTCAAGGTCGGACGCTCTAGGAATCTACAGAAGAGGAAGATGCAGTAGCTCTACCTGGCCTCCCCTACTGCTTTTGACCAATTTCGTATGGATGGCCATCGTGTTTTCGGTTAATCAATTTGGGGTTTATTGGTTTCGTTTGGTTTTTTGCTGTTGTTTTGAAATTAAGGTTTGTTATATTGAACATGGGGTTGGAGTAATTCGAGCAATAACGTAAAAATAGGGTTGGAGCAATTTGTTGGACATGAAGAAGGCTGTTGCGCTGGATCCCTCCATTTTCATTCTTGCTTTTCTATTTTTAAAATTAGAAGTTTCTAAAATTAGGGTTTGTGAGCATTAAATATGGGCAGTGAATATGGGTAGTGACTAGTGAACATGATAGATATTGTTGAGTATGGTGAGTGAATTAAGGGTTGCTGGGCATTAAACATGGGCATTAGATATTGGCAGTGAATGAATGCATTAAAGAATTTTGTTGTGCAGTGATTGTGACCGGTGGTGCAATAACACAGAGCAGTAATGCCACCATGAAACACAATATACTTAATTAGACATAAATAATAAAATTATTAAATCCAAAAAAATAAAAATAAAAAATTATAAATAATTTCTAAAGTGAATGAGAAGAGAAGAGAATTAATTTTGGCGGAAGTGCAGTGATTATTACCGGATGTGCAGTAAATTCATGCATTAATTTAGTGCAGTAACTACAATATAAAGTGCAGTAATTTTAATTGGACGAAATTAGTGCAAAACGCATAAAATTTTAACCAGGGGTATTTTCGTCATTTAAAATTTAAATACAAACGAGTTCTTTATTTTTTTTGGGATTTTCGGTCATACAAAAGTTAAAAAACTAGTTAGGTCATAGATTGAGAAACTCATCGAGTTTTAGTCACATTCTAGTAAATTTCCCTTGTTTAAAATATACTCACTACATCCCATTATACATTTCATACTTTCGTTTTTGAGGTTTTTGAAAACAGGTGTTATGTTTCCTTTTTTAGAAAACATGTATGTGGCCCACCGCATTTACGTTCGATCATAACTTCTACTTTTTCAGTATTTTATTGATAATTGTGTCAAAAAAAAAAATACTTCGTATTAATAATTGTGTGAAACCAAAACAAGACATATAAAATGGGATGAAAGTAGTATTATGGCATGAGAACCAGATCTCAATCCAGAGATTTTCCGTGGGACTAGTTATTTTTTAGATGTTTCCACTGTTTTTCCTTTTGTGCTGCTTTTCTTTCCTTTTTCGTCACTTTGTACTGTTTTTATTTTTATCAATAAAATCCCCCTTTCCTTAAAAAAACTACATCCGTCACACTAACATTGGGATATGAGGAGGTCATACAGTTATTAGGAAAAGTGAATTTTTGTGGCTGATATTGAATGAATTAAGTAAAATTAAAGATAAAAATTATTTAGAACCACACATATTTTACCAATTAAGTTTGTTATGAGCTAATCAGGATAGATCGAAGAGAAAAGATTAGACAATTTTAACAGGACAGAGAGAGTATTTTAGAATAAATAAAACTCGAAGTCGAACCCAAGTCAAATCAAGTTATATACTACGTATTTTTACTAGACTGGATTGTTTTATACTACGTGTATAGCTTGACTTGACGTGTGTTCGGATTAGAAAAAATATGGTGTATATAGTTGAATACATTTTTTCTTACGATTAGATCTAAGCTAGAGAGTCGAGCTCGTCTAGCTTAATTAACTTCTACATTTCCTCACACTTCTGTTATGCCCCTCCATCCCAATTTAAAAGGTCTCGTTTGACTTTTACACAATTTAAAAATGTGGCACTGGTTGATACTATTTGACAGACTATTGTTTTGGAGGAAGACACCGTCGGTGCTGAATAGGAGCAAAGATAAAGTGTTGTTTTTATTTAGTACTAGTTGGAATAACTATTTTTATTATACATTCTTAACTTGTGTATTTTTCTCTTAGAATATTTGGCTATATTTTCAACAACCCGGAATGGAAAAAAACATTTCCAAGCGGACGCCCTCGAGTATTTGCAAGAACCGATTGTGGGGGTTGGAAACAAAAAGAAGAAGAAATGTCCCAAATATTTAAGAGATCCGTCAATTAGATGGAAAAGGATGTACCATGATATAGCCTAATAAGATTTACTTTCATTTTCTGTCACAAAAATAATAATTTACTTGCTGAAGAATCTCATGTATGTAATTGTCATGTTTAACGCATAGGTAAACTTGCATTTGCAAATGTGTTGCTTCTGAGTGGAGAAATTAAACTCTTTCTCATTATTATGCTTGACATTTAATATAGCGTGCTATTGATATTTCATTAATGTATTACTAGATTCTCACCTGTGCGATGCACGGGCATATATTATGTAAAATCTATATATCTTTATTTGTTTATATTATTAATTGATGTATAAATGTGTGGAATTAGAGGAGGCGTAATATACGTAATAAACTATAGTTAAGGAAACGATAGTTAAGACTCATGCATTTATGGTAAATATGTTTTGAAATAAGTAAAAATAAACAAATATTAACATATGATTTTTGCAATCTACATTTTTCGAAACACTTCCTTGTAAACAACATTTGTAATATGGTCGGTTTGTTAACCTTCTTCATCACAAATCAATATTTCATTCTTTGTTGTTAATCTTGATACGGCAACATAAAGTTGGCCATGCGAAAAATATTGACTTTTTGAATAACAATCCTATATGCGACAAAGATTGGTCTTAACTCTTAAGAAAGTTTATTTAAATCAATAATAATTACCATTTTGGATTATTTATAATTAAATGATGTCCGAATAACAATAATAATAACACTATACTTTGAGATATACTTACGATAAGAATATTATTCTTTTGTTTTATGCGATTGTTTAAAAAAGTATCTGTTGCAATCTAACAAAATTTCACAATTTATTATCACAATTAGCATCTAATATTAAATAATACTACGTAATGTGTAATCTTATTATGACTTGTCATATAATTAATACAATATATACTCATATTGAAATGCAATAGTAATAAGAATACAATTTGATACACCATTGACCATAATCATTATAATAATCCAGCCTAACACTAAAAACAGTGCTGAAACGTGATGCTTTCCGCCCTGGCCAAATCACCCCGTCCAACATAAAAAACAATCTAATTTATTACACTTGGCACAAACAGCCCAGCCCAATTCTTAAAACTAAAACCTGCCCAATAAACCGCCCTATATAAACCCCAGGAATGCCTCAAACCCTCATTAGTCATTACCCTTTAGTTTTATCGTATAACCTTCAGCCTCCTCAAGCGACCTTTGGTTCTTTCATTATTTCTTCCGATTCTCTTCTTTGGTTTCACCATTTTTCTTCTGAGAGATGACCTTTGTTTGACTTTGTTCCGCCATTCGCATTGACGATGGCGATTATCGTCAAGTGTTGCTGACGAAATCTGTTCAATATAAGTATTGAAGTATTAATTTATTTTGTAATATATTATGTATATCATTTATGTTGTATATATGCATTCATATTTTCGTGTATATAAATATTTTACATCATTAAAATAATATATAGTCATTCTAATTATATAGTTAACCCAAGTATATGTTAACCATATTTCATATCCACGTGTGAGTGTTAGGGTGAGTTGGTATAAACAATTTTTGCATGTATAAATTTCCGTTTCAGATTTTCCAAAATTATTCGTGTTATTATATTAATAGATATTATGTACTATATAGGAATAACACAAACAATTGGATTAGTACCTTTGTTAATCAAGTGTTGAACCTGCCATTCATTCGGATTTGAGAATTGCTCCGTTGTGGTGTTGTATTCCAACCCATCGTATGGATATATATAGTGGCAGAAGGGAGAGTCTAATGAAGCAAACATTTTATACCTTGTGAGTATCCAACGGTTAATACGTACTAAATCTCTATTTTGAGATTTTGTAGTACAAACATTTATTGTTGTGTGCTGGCTTTAGCAATAATAAAAAATGATACAGATTTGAAAATTTGAATAATTCCGTATGCAAATTGTAAATGTAGTACAATGCATTAAATTGTAACTGATACAAATTCTTGCATGCGGATTCTTTACTCAGACTTGGAGATTTTAAAGTACATGGTATGCCCATTTTTTAATAATAAAAGGTTCGGTGTTCAAAATTGTTGGCTGATTACTTAAGTTTAAAGTTTTTTCACAGCACGTCAACTCAATTCCTTGAGCCACAAAAACTGAAACTGCCATTGGATACTATGCCTGCATTAATTGAAACCCATTTCGGACCACAAAGCTGTCACCATGGGCTGCACCCAAATAAGATCCGACCCGACCCGTGAATGGGCTGCATTTTGGGCGGGAATAATGTTCAGATTCCATCCTGCTTTTGTATAATAGAAGATATTGTGATTTATGTCCTTCTTGATTAAACTTAATTAAAATTTAGAAAAACTTCATCAAGAATATACGGAGAAATTCTACTAAGATTCCTTTCATTCTTGATATATTAAGTTCAAGATTTGAAAAACTTAATCAAAACTATGCAGGAAATCTTTGTCCAAACTTCTTTCTTTCTTGATAAACATGTTGATCGGAGAATTTTATAAATACATATGGAAAAACTCGGAGTTTATTCTCCTTACTATAAAGTAAACAATGTGTATGAAATATACTTAAGGAGCGTATTCAATCGCCCTAGATCACCGGAAAATACCTCCTTACCCCCATTTCCACAATCTCTTATTATTTCTTGAATCTTGATTTTCTGATGAGCTTATAGGATTTTCTAAAGGTTATTCTGTCTATTTCAACTCTCGAGGACGAAGAAATAAGGGGGAAGAGCAACGTGTGGAGAAGAAAGAAGGGGGAGGTGAGGTGGGACCAAAAAGTAAAGGAAAGAGCAAAATAGTTGAATTAGACATTATGTGATGGACAAAGTCTGTCCTGAAATATTATTCCTTGAGAAAACTATCAAATAGGCCCTCTAACTATTCAAAAAAATCAATTCAGCCCATCTACTGAAATTTCGTTCAATTAAACCCTCAAACTCATTTTAAAATGGCAAATCCTCTTTTTTGCCTGTAATGAACAAGTTACCGGTAATATTTTTTTTAACGGACTATTTGTGTACACCTTGGCTACACATGTGGCTGATTTCATTTTTTATTTTTCTAATTTAATTTTTCTTTTTTCGTTCTGTTTGCTTTTCCTCCACCTGCTTTCTCCTTCAAGTTTCTTCCATCCGCCTTACCAGCAGCTTCACCCCCTTATTCCATCTTCTTCCACCCACTCTTTCTTTTGCCCCTTTATTCTTTCTTCTCCCACCGATCGTTCGCCGGCTGTGGTTCCGCTGTGCAGTTCCCTTAGTAGAACCTAGGTCGCCGGAGATGCTAAATTACCCACCGCACGCCGGCTTGGAGGTTGGGGAAGAAGATCCGTTCAAGCTTCTGGGTCAGCAACACAAGGCGATGTGGAAAGCTTGTCGTTGTGCTCCATCATAATCTGACTATGCCGCCTTCCAGAGTGTTGATGTAGACGAATCAGGTGGTCTCGAGCATCGTGGTGGCCTGGTAGAGGGTGGCAGTGACTAGTGAGGGTGGTCTCTTCGTTAAGCTGGGGGATCTTTTTAGATCCGAAGTTGTTGGCGAAATAGTTGAGGGAGAAGATGTTTTTGATGGTCTAAAGCTGTAGATCGAGGGAGAAGTGCTTGTCATGACCTAAGCTACTGTTCATCTTCCTCGATGGAAAAAGAAAGAAGGCAGCACCAATGATAGTTAATGTGACAGGGACAAGACTTTAGTTTGCCAAGGAGGATTTTTTATTATTAGAGAAATGAAAAAAAATGACATGGAAAGCCACATAAGCAACATAACCGGGAAACCCAAGAGTAATTAGTAAAAGTGCCATTTTGAACATTTTTTGAAGCACAAGTGCTTAATTGAGTGAACATTTTGTTTGAGGGTTTAATTGATTTTTTTATATAGTTCGGGGGCTAATTTGATAGTTTTCTCTTATTCCTTCTATCCCTAAAGATGTTCCTGCTTTGACTCTGACACATTTTTATGCAAAAGTTAATGTGCTCTTGACTTTCCCTAATTGTCCTCCCCTCCCACGTGTTGCCCAAACTGTGAAAACAGAAGTGAAGAAAAAGGGGCTACATTTTGATAACAACATTCACATAAAAGGGTAACAAACTTTACAACTAATTCGGAGGTTAATGCTACAAAGTGCAACAGTACACCAAAGTTCAATTCCCCCATTTTTATTCCTTAAATTCCTACAATTTTATTCCTTAAATTCCTACAACTACCTTATCTGACATCATTTACTACCCATAGATCTCTCTTTGGATCTCTCTACAAAATGAGGCTCCTGCAGCTTCCTCAAATCCAATTGCAGCTTCCTCGGCAGCCTCTGTAACTGTTACTCATGTAGTACCTGCAGAACAAACAAATGAAGGATGTCAAACTGGAACAAGTAGGTGGTCTAAACTAAGTAATGCACAGAAAAACAGTTTGGTGGAAACACTTTTAGCTCATTTTCATAACGAGAAACTTCAGAGGGGCATTGTGAGAAAAACAGCTACACAGTTCAACTGTTTTGGGCATACAATTAATAAATTGTGGGGCCGAGCTCACAGCCAACTCAATGATGGGATCCCAATTAATGTGCAAAGTCAATATAAGGGAAATGTGGGAAGAAAAAAGTTGATTTTTACTTAGGCAAGTTAACATAAGTTAACCTTCCACTACATCAAAGAAAGAACATTCAATCTTTGGGTTGTGCCCTAGACATGTCACAGTCTAAAGAGACATTCCAATGCCATAAAATCATTCCTCACAGGCTCACACATGCAGAAAAAATCAAAAGGTTACAGTTCTGCCTATCTCATTTGGTGCCTAGGCCTGTGCCCTTAAACTCCACGTTTCATCATTTTTATAATTACATTCACATAGAAGAAAAGTGGTTTTTTTATCAAAAGAAACCACAACATACTACACTCATCCCAATGAGCTAGACCCCTATAGATCTGCTCAATAAAAAAAACCCAAAATAGTATTTTTAGCAGTTTTAGGTCGGCCTAGATTTGGGAACAATGGGGCAGTGCTATGGGATGAAAAGATTTGTATCTTTCCATTCACATATGAGGAAAGAGCGAAACGGGCTAGTAAAAATAGATCAGCAGGCACTTTAGAGACAAAATCCAAAATTAAGTGTAACCAAAAATGTTATCAAGGAGATGATGTTACACAAAGTCCCACTAGCAATCAAAGCTACATGACCAGATGCAGAAAATAGAGACATCATAATTCAACAAGACAATGCAAGACCACACATTGATATGAATGATGCAGAATTTGTGGAGTCGGCAACTGCTGATGACTGGAACATAAAGCTAACTTTCCAGCCACCTAACAGCCTAGACATGAATGTCCTAGACTTAGTTTTTTTCGTGCAATTGATTCACTGAAAGAACTAAAATCCCCCTAAAACAATGGTTGAGTTTATCGAAGCCGTGAGAACTGCTTTTGATGAGGTCACAACTTATACTTTGAAGAATGTGTTCTTAAGGTATCCGTGTGTGATGGAACAAATACAGATGCACAAAAGTGAAAATCAGTTTAAACTAAAACATGTTGGTAAGGATAAGCTTGACACACATGGGATGTTACCACAGAAGATGAATACCAACCCAACATTAATGGATAAAGCTAAGGAGAATCTCATATACATGCAAACACAAGGGCCAGAAACACAGAAGATATACATGCAAAGTGAAGGGCTAGAAACTCGGTTCATAATTGAAGATGAGGGTCATCTTCAATAATGAACTCGACAGGTTTTTTGTATGTACACTAGTAAAGGGACAACTTTTTTGTATATAGGGAAAGTGTACATTTTTTGTATGTACACAAGTAACGGGACAACTTTTTTGTATGTACACTATCAACGGGACAACTTTTTTGTACGTAGAGGAAATGTACAATTTATGTATGTACTATTATGCATGCCTAGCCTACATTATCTAAATGTAGGGGCTGTGTAGTATCTTTTGTTCAAATTGTCGTACACTTATTGACAGTCATGTATGCATTCAAGTCAATGGTAACAATCTAACTCTACACATATGCACATACATTGGCTTATACAATAGGACCATCATCAGTTTACTCACTCAGTAACCACACAACCCCCATCACCATCAATAGAACCGGTAAGGTAAGTACACAAAGGCAAAACATCATCATCAATACAAGCAGTATGGTAACCACACATGACCAATGCTTCATCAGACACTAAGGTAAGCAACACAAGGCCAACACAATTACATAGCCTCAGGACATATACATAGCCTCCTACACTTGGAGAAAGTGGGTGGCAAATGTTAATAAGGCTCACACAATTACCATCATGCGTACAACCAGTAAGGTAAAAACATAAGGAGAATCGTGTACAAGCAAAAATAAGGCAATTTCATCAGTTAAGCAACAATTAGACAATGCAACACCACAATAATTCATCATTTGTCAGATTAAGTAGGCAACAACCACAATTTGTGATGCGAAATGTGCAAATACAAACGAAATACACATATGTAAGGAATACAAAGACTTCCCTTAAGTAGAGTCCCAAAATACATCCGCATAGAGATCTTGAAACATGGCGTCGAAGGAGTTCATCTCCTTGCCTCTTCCTTTGAATTTGGAAACTCATCGCACTGGGATCCATACCTCTTCCAGGGGTTTCAACCCAAATCCGTTTCCGATTATGTAGTCCACCCACATGCACAGTCATATTCTTCATCGTCGTCGGTGTGTTCGACGGATACATCTTTATAAACGGTGGCCGAATCTTTTTTGAAACTATAGAGGTTAGAGTTTGTTACCTGTGGATGGCCATGGAAAAGGGATAGTCGTTTGGAGTTTGAGTTAGAAGATGACACAGAAACAGAGTGTTCATCTATGGAAGGGGTGAGATTGGTGGAGGCATATGCGTAGAAACCAGAAAAAGAGGGGCGGACGTTCTAGAGAGAGAAGCGAGTGGGAAAAATAAGTGGGGAGATTAGATGGGGTTTTCGGTTTAAGTGGGAGAAAGTAAGTGGGGAAAGTAAATGGGTTGTTCAAATTATTTGGGGAAAGGAGGGTAAATGGGAAGGGTATATTAGGCATTTCATTTGACCTTTCTTTCCATTTAAGGAAATAGTAACTTGTTTCTGGGACAACAAAAAAAGGAAAGCGGAAACTTCTTTACGGAACGGAGGGAGTACCAAGAAAAAAGTTATGAACAAAATGTGACTTTGAAGCTTTTAGTAACTATAATTATAATTATGTTCAAAGTTTCTATCATACTTACAGTCACTTTGTATACGATTATAGTCACTAAATGTTATCAAGCCACATTTTTGTTCATTACTTTTTCAAGAGTGATATTAATGATTTTTTTCATAACATTACTAAAAAATATGGATAATTTCATTATGGTCATAAATAAGACATCCATTCTGAGTTTGGGAGGAATTTGACTCCTCTCCGGTACTGGAGTGTGTCTATTTAGTTTCTTCTGTCTGTTTACGTGAGATTCTTGTCTCTGTGAGTGACATAAACTAATACGCACTAAACTACAGGCAAACAAATATCAAAACCAGGTATATAATTATATACATGCCACCACAATCACAATACAAGTTGCTTTTATTCAAATTGATTCTTCTAACAATGATGAGAACTTGTTCCTTGTGCAATGGAGGGGACTGCTTACATATGTACCGAGGCATATTGACTCAATGCCAACTAAGTTTTGGTTGATTGGTTGAGCAGAAACGAGTTTACGGTTCTACCTTTCTCAAAACTAAACCAACCTAAATTCAACCAATGAAACCGAAAAATGACAAAACCAAACCGATGAACACCCCCTGCTCGAATGAGAATGTAGGTAGCTCTGCATCATGTTAGATAAATATTTATGTCCCAACACACTAAGCTAATATTAAAAAAATGGAAGGAATACTAATATTACAACAACATCCAAAAGCCTTAATCTCAAAAGATTTTGGGGTCCGCTAATATCGTAATAAAAAAGAAAAGAAAGATAAGAAAAATAAAAAAATAAGCTATGATAAAAAAGATAATATAAAAAGAGATGGATATACATAAAAACGATAGAATAAAAAGGACAAAAAGAATAAAAAGGACAAAAACAAAGTATAAAAACATGCTATTAGACTAAAACCCGCAAGCATTCTCAAGCGTGACTCACTGATGTGGAATTCACAACTTTCAACCATTGGTTTAGCGGGGGGGGGGGGGGGGGGTAATCTGGGCCCCAACTCACTCTATGACCGAAATTCGGCAAAATACTTATTTTATCACTTATAAGTGTAAAACAAATAGACTCGCCCCGAATTCAAATCATGGAGGGTTTTGGGCTCCTGGGTATGCCTATGCTTTCAACATACAACTTAATACTACTAATTACAAATGCACTCTTTATATAAAATTTGGAAAGACTGAAGTAATTTGTTATCTGGGTGATGTAAACATGAATGAATGTTGTCAGTTAGCTAGCAAACAAAGCTCCTTATTTAAAATTGTGCTCAAGTAGATAGGCTTTCACCATGCTTCACACTCCAGCCCATGTTTCCTTATATCGAGATGTTCCACATTCCTTGTTGGGATAAGAAATAATTCCGTTTTCATCAAACAAATCGGTCTTTGCAGCTACACAGCTCCTTTTTAATGTACCCATACATGCTTGGACCAATGGATGTACAACTTCTTTAAGCTTTCCATAAACCCTCTTAGCACAATCCCTTATACAAGAGACTTAGAATCTGACCTTAACTTTAGCTCGAACGTGAAACTTTCAGAAACTTTGACTGCACTAGAACACAGACAATTGAAGTGTTAGGGTGTTTTTAATTGCATTAAAATTTTCTGATTTGGTCTGAAATCTCAACTAGAGTGGTCTGGTAGATCTCTATTTTATGTGTATTTTACTATTCTCCGTGTTTGCTATTGGTTTGATGATCTTGTCTGGAACCGAAATCGTTCCAATTAAAAACATTCTTAGTACCCATACACTCATTACTTCAACTTGGTGCCCACACAAGCATCCTCAACCTTAACTTAACTATTCTTCACTTTGTTTTTCTAATTTTTCCTCTTCATCAAAACTTTTTTCCCCTCTATCCTCTTCCAACAAGTTTTGAACTTTTTTCCGCCGCATGTCAAATTACTCAATAATAACCAAACTTTTAACATCACGTCATCGGATGGGATCTTTGTTTTAAAAAGCATGGGGCGGCGTTAGGCGTTTTGGGTCAATTTACCCGAGGCATCAGGCGTTTTGTTAAACTAAGGATGGGATGGGATTCTACTGGTATGGATTCTGAGATGAGACAGTTGTCAAATAACTGGTAAGTGATCAGAACATGGGATTGAACATGAACTGTCCCAAGGACACAGCTGCAGCCATAGGGAGAGAAACACTCAACAAACATCCTCTCCAACACTGGACAAGGCAGGGAGCCAAGCAGTTGAATTAGAATAGACTTGCTCTTTTACTTTCTTGCTTTAGCGATTTATCAGTCAATCATTATTCATTACTAGTTGGTGATTATATTCTTAGCTGTGAAAGTGTCAAGTATTCCTTTTTATGTGGGGTTCTTTATTAGTTTCATATTAGCAGGTTACATTCCTAGTACTTGCACTTGCGTCGACTTTGTATTCTCCATTTTAAAAAAATGGATTTTTTTAATCCAGAACCCAAAAGATCCGGCATAATTCAAGAATGACAAGGGAAAGCTGAAAAAATGAAGTCAACCATATACACTGATCTCATTCTAGTTGATGGCTCATTTTTTGTTTTTTGGCTGGACTTTCTAGTCTTTTATAGTATATGCTCAATGTTAAACGCCAACATCCTTGGGATGAGTTTGTTTCGAACACGTGACCTCCTTCTTGGGAGTGTCCGGAGTGTCACAATGACCTTCTCCTTGACTGTGGTGCTTGGCTTAATGGCTCCCTTTATAATCACCATTTAAAATAAAAAAAAGAACATATACTAAAGATGAAACTGTGAACAATCATAGATTGAAGGCAGCAATATTATCATTCCACAAAATGTACAGAGTATGAATTAACACATACCTGAAACTCAAAGAATCTTGAATTCATCTCAAACTCAGAATTAAGACATACCTGAACACATCATATACAAAACCATCATCACTACAATGCTGCATCAACCATCAAAGTATCGCCATCAGCATCGTGCATTGGATCAATAAACCACCCACTAATATCATCAAAATCAGCCCTTCCCATTATTGCTAGCCACCTCTCCAATTCAGATTCAGCCATACGAATAGCTTCTATTTCCGCCACAGCGAATCCCCAATTGGAGTGGAGCGGTTTCTCCGATTCTTCATTGGGTAATTTTCTCCGACATAGAGGGCATGTTTTGCTGCGATCCAGCCAAGGAGCAATACAGTCCTTGTGGAAGAAGTGCTTACAGGGGAGTTGACTAGCTCCGGTGCCGAGCTCAAACTCGTCCATACAAATAGAACACGAAGCGGAATGGGCGACCTCTACAACGGGCAGTCTGTCGACGATCGGTTCGAGAGTAGAGGGCGGGGAGGTACTAGACGAGAAGAACTCAAAAAACGAGTCTTCCGGTTCCGGATAAGGATAATTGGAATAGAAATCGGAATCGGAGTCGAGGAAATCCAGAGCTTGAGAGTTGGAGGGAAGGGGCTGAGGAATAGGAGGGTTGATGGAGGAAGCAATGGTCGGAGTGGGGGTCGAGGGTGTGGTGTGGGGAGGGAGGAGGTGGCGGTGGTGACAGCGTGGACAGCTTAAGGGAGTGGCGGCGGCGGCGGTTGTTATGATGGGGTAAGAATAGCTGCAGCGGTAACATCGGTAAGAGCGGGTGTGGGAGGAGGATGAGGCGGCGTTGATGGTCTCGGTCGACATCACCTGTACAAGGGTGGGATCATCGATTTCTTCTGGACGGCCAGTCGGCAGCTTTTTGCTGGGCGGACCGACAATCCCGGTGATAGTTGGGGCAATTTTAAATCCATTGCTGGTAAGGGTGTTTGGAACTGATTCTGCTTCTGCTTCTTTTTTTAAAAGTAGAAGCAGAATCAGAATCAGTTTTCAGAAGCTGGTACCCCACAGCTTCTAAAAAAACTGATTCTGAGAGTAAATTAGAGCTCCAGAAGTGCTTCTGGAATTTCACCCAAACACTCCAGCTTCTGCTTCGAATCAGTTTTGAGAATCAGATCCAAACACCCCTAAATTGAATAAGAAAAAAAATACGAGTAGTTTCAATTAGGGATGAGCACGGTTCCAATCATTGATAAATTTTTTAAATCACTGGTTCCATTAAGAGATAGATTCGATCCGAATATACCAAATTTCAAGGGTATTTCTAAATGCAACTGTAGTTTTGCTAACGACAGCGGTACAGCCCTATTTATTTATTCGTTTTAAGCAAATTGACTAACTTTACAAATTTACCCTAATGATAATGATATTTATTAGGTTCAGGCGGCGTTCAGCCCTATTTGTTTTCTATTCTACAGCCCTATTACTCGTTGAATATATCTCATGACCGGAAGATATGGTGGAGGTTAGTGGTCAACATCGTGAAGGGGCATGCGGCGGAAGTGGTAGTCATGACGAAGTTGATGGCGGGTGTTACAGTGGCGGACGTGACCGGGCAGTGTTTGACTCGATCGATTGCCTTAACCCCAAATTTCAGACCTTCTCTGTTTCCTTTTGTAGTTTGTACATGAGCTTCTTTACTCTCTTCTTCTTCAAACAACATAATATGATTGTGTTAATCCCCAACCCATTAATCTAACTCTGATTCCTCATGGAACCCGACGCATATGTGGTGCTCGCTAATTGCCACGGCCTGACCGGAGTTGAGCTTGAGAAAGTCTTTCTCGCCGTTTGAATTGGGCGGATTATATCTTTCTTGAGCCTCGGTTCTTCCTTGGGAAGTTGGGATTTTTAGGAGGATTGTATTTCACCTTCATCTTCTTTATCCGAGTCAACTTTGTCGTCGGAAAGGAGGCTGTTGATGTTCTTAGAGGAATTTCCCCGGAGAACAAAGGAGAATTTGGGGTTTGCGGACAGATTTGAAGCCTACTTAACAGAGCAATTGATTGACGCCTGTTGCTGACTCTGTATGAAGATTCATCCGATTGAATCATGACCCAATTTTCCAGATATATTTTTTCATTCATTCTTATAACCGGATTATTATCACTGAATTTGGCTGCTTAATAATAATTTGGATATAATCAGTCAGAATTGAAGGAAGAGGTTGTCAAAATGTGGAGTGACATTGAAGGAGGAATTTGTAGGCATCATATTACACATGTCTATCTTACACATGTCTGTCTGTGAGTAGCTATATTTATCTATGAGTAGCTTGTTCATAAACAAAATATGGTAAATCTTTGAACATGTTATTCATAGACAAAAAAATAACTTCTCCTAAACATTTGTAAGATGATGTGTACAAAAAGAATTTTCATTGGATAAAGATTGTAGACTGGTATCATTTAATTGAAAAGATTGGACACATTGTGCTCATTCCCTCGTCTTTTTGGCTCGAAGCTTTCTGGATACCTCCAAACGGCTTTGGACAGGTTAGGGATCGGAGACATCTAGCTGCCGAAAAAGTTAAATAGTATGTTTGGTTCAAGGTAATCACCTATGCAGGCCGGAATCTTATGCCTGGAATCTGAAATATCCGTGTTTGGTTCGTAGGTTTATTTTTATGGGGGGAATGTCACATTCCGAAAAGGAAGAGAAAGTAATAGGATGCTCCTTTATCTCAAACTCACTCAACTCTTAGGTTATCTTACCTTCCTTAGTGGGGGTGAATTTTATTCCAAAATACCCATTTTCATTTAACCAAAATGGTTTAAATAGCATACAGAGTGTTTATTTTTTATTTTTCTTAACCCATCTGGATTGGAATTTTTTTAAACAAACCCATCCATATTGGATTAAGAAATACAAAATGTATACTTTTGAATTTGATTTATTAAAAATTAATGAAATAATTACATATTTATAACTAAAATAAAGATTGTTTAAAAAATGTGAGAAATGACTACAGTAGTAATTTAATCATAATAACTTGTATTGAACTTTTAAACTTAAATGATCATGATAACTTAATATATGAGGAGGTGGTGTAATTATTAAGAAAAAGGAGTTAATGTGGTTGATAGTGAATTACGTAGTATCGGAGTAATAAATTTAGAATAAAGTAAGAATGATTTAGAAGGATCAAACATTAATTTTTTTTCACTAGTGGTTGATAGTGAATTACCTTTTAGTAGGAGTAAAATATAACATGCAACTTTTCCTTAAATAGGAGTCAATATCTAATATTTTCTAAGTAGGATCAACCATTAATTTTCTACCCCTAATCTAATTAATTGCCCCCTAAAATCCTTGAATAATCAGGTCATTCTATTAGTGACGTGTGGTCCATTGATTTTTTGATCGATGAAAAACGTAGGCTCCTATCGATGAAGACATTCTTTCTCGAGATTCCGACGATTGTAATAAGGGTATTACGAAAAAATATTTTTAAGAGCATTAAAGTAATTCACCAAGTTTGTTGTATAATATATGATTTAACCAAACAAATTAATGTCACATTCCTTTAGTCTCAACCAAACACAAATGAGTACAAATTGAATACATTCCCATCAATCTAACATACCCAGCAATCTAACATTCACATGTTGATCTGACATTCCTTGAACAAAACATACCCTTATGGAGTTGGAGTTACTGCCTCAGATTGTCCAGGTCGCAAGATCACCGCCTGCCACCGGATTGTCGGATTTTTTTCCAGAATGCCTCCACCGATGTGGCAGAATTCTGCCACCGCCACCGCTAGAGACTTGCACCGTCTCCGCCGAAGTTTGTTGCCGCCGCCATGGAATGATCTGACGGCAACGGACTGACCTTGATTATGCAAGGGAACTAGGGGCAATTAATTTGTTAATTAATTAATTACTCAAATCAGGGGTAAAATGAAATTATTAGTTATATTCAAGGAAAACCAAACATAATGTCCTTTTTTGAAATAATGCTACAGAGTACGTTTTAGTCCTACACTCCTACCAAAAGCAATTTTCTCCTAAAATATTTATGTCAATGCGGTTACTTTTTTTGTTCCTCCAAAAAGGTTGAATTCTCAACCCCAAGAATTCTCCACGTCCCAACTCGACAAAGCATATGAGAGATTGTAAATCTCAATTACCTTGTAAAGTCTCATGTGGTTCACCTCCGGCGGAGCGGTGATGTATGGAGTTTTCTCCCCACGCTAAGGCTCTCAAAGTCTCAATTGATGAAACGTATGTCTTTGATCAAGAATCAAATTGAGTCTCACTTTAATGGAGGAGTTGAAGCAATTAGCTCCTAGCCTCCTTGACTGACATGTCACATGTGTGTCAATGGAAGGATTTCATTGTCACAGATTGAAGCCATCAAGATAATGTGTTGTTTTCTTCAAACAAACATCAACAACCTCCAGGGCATTTGACACAAAAACATAAACCCATGGGCATTTAAGCGCAAGCCATAAAGAATAGCTCCTAAATAAGAGAACGTTAGAAATAAGTTAAACAAAAAAATTCCAAAGCATAAATAACTTTAGCAACTCACATCCACAAGTTCACCCTACATTCGTACTTTCGACGCAATCAATACTCAATGAGACGCCTCTCCCACTATTATTCGTAAGTCATAACAACCTAAATTTGAACTTTGAACTGATATTGACTTGTCATGAGTGCCATGTTGCGAGGGGAACAAGCTATCAGCACCTTAAACAATTGCAAAATATACATAGAACAGACATCTATAGACCCTACTTAAACAGGCCAAAACAATCTGAAAATCTCAATCCAATTAAAAACATATCTAGCAACATGATGAACACGACAATGGGAAGCATATTTATGATGATGTTTCATTCTTTTGTTATATACCCCGGGGGTCTGGGGGGAGGAGCGGGGAAGGTAAATAGGATGAAACTCCCCCCATCGAATTTCAAAGTCGACACTTCATGTATGAGAGTGTAAGTGGGCGACCAGCTTAACAGAAGTGCTTCACAAAACTTCATATTAATCCGCTAGTCAAAACTCATTATAAAAAGCACTCAGACCTTAATAAAATAAAGTCATCCCATTGATGCCACGAAATTGTATTCATGAAAATCAAATCAGCCGCCAAAACTTACTTAGTGTTTGGAAATGGAAAATTTCACACTAATAATCCCACCTATTGATGGTTTTCTATTATTAATCTCTCCTACTGATTATTCTGAAATAATACGAACTAAGGGGTTAATCTCCCCCCTTTAGTCTAAAGGTACTGCCAACCGAGTATGCCAGTGATTATTTTAAATTCGTTTAACTAACAACTGTAGCAGCTCCTTAAACAGACCTAGCTCCCCTGTACGCAAGCTCCCAGAAGTTTGGCTCATCGTTTTGAAGCCCAACCTCCCTCCTGGGCTTCGCAGCTCAGCCCCTCCCCTCCCATGTCTTCTCCCTCAGACACGTAAGACGATCAAAATCTATTAGCCCGTTTAGCCGATATATGTATACTGCCTTGTGTATTATGTGCATTGAATTACCGAGTTTTACTCTTCGGATAGCTTCCTACTCCAATTCATAAATGGAACCAGCCCAATCTGCCTAAGAACACTGAGGTCTAGTTGAAGGTAAACCAGTCAACTACTACCCCTGATTTTCCCGTCATTTGTGCTTTATCAATGGAAGATCACATGTAGTCATATATGGTAAATTTATAAACTTGAATTGTCATCAAGACGGGAAAGAATAAACAGAGATGAGTAAGCCCCTTATTATTGGTGTGATGACAATTACCTCCAATTGAGTTCGAAGAAGATGATCCACTGACGGACCTCATTACAAATGCCGAAGAAGACGACCCACCTCCGATTCAGTTTGGCCTCTGTGTTTCCCTTCTCAGACCGTGAAATTAAGTCCGGCTAAGTCAGACCGTGAAATTCAGTTCACCACCAATTCAGTCTGGCCAAGTCGCGCTCGTTGTCTTCCTTCGTCCTCGCGTTTCAGATGTCCTCTGCGTTATCTTCACAGCAGCTTCACATTTGTAAAAGGGAGAGATTAATTACCACGTGCGGTCACATGACTATGAATTACCGGTTAAGACCCGAACTTTAGGTTAATGGAGTAAAGGAGGAAGATTAACCTCTTAGTTCGTATTATTTCAGAATAATCAGTAGGAGGGATTAATAATAGAAGACCATCAATAGGTGCGATTATTAGTGTGAATTTTTCCTTTGGAAATTATAAACCCCAAGGACTTAAGGAGATATATATATTCCTAGGAAACGTTAATATAGACCCCATGCAAACAATACATATTGAAATAGTTAAAATATACGTAGTATATATATATATATATATATATATATATATATATATATATATTAGATGCTAGAGGTAGTACTTTGTATAATTTCGACTAAACAATTTTCATTAGACAATACAGAATTTTCGTGTATTTTTTGTTTCATTTCATTACCAATTAATAAGATAAAATAGAATCTTTTAAAATATTTTACATGTAAAATATGTCCTGAGCCAAGGGCTGACCTTGAAACATGTACATATTAGGGGTGGACTCGAGTCGGGCCGCCCGGCCTGGTACTGTTTGGGCTCAGCCCAGCCCAGTACCCGGTTTTGGGGCCGGTTCGGGCCAACCAGAACCGCTCAACTCCCGGTTCGAGCTCAGGCCTTGAAAATGTTGTACCGGCCTGGCCACTCCGAGCCCGGTTCGGGCCATTTTTTTTTCATTTTTTTTTGGTTTCTACCGAGTAGGGCTGGGTGTTTTGGGGGGGGGGGGTAGGTGGTGGGGAGTGAAGGGGGGGGGTCGGGGGTAATTTAGAAAAGCAAAAGAAAAAAAACATTAAACCGGAAACCAGACCGGCCCGGCCCGGAACCGCAGGTCACCCAGGCCGGTTCGGGTTCCCTACTTCCCAAACAAAAGCCCACACAGGCCCAGGCCCGAACCGGCCCGGGTCCATCCCTAGTACATATAGTTGTGTGAAATTAGAAATCCAAAAAATATGGCTTCTCATTGAGTGGATCGGTTTACTTTGTCCATCAAGTACATAACTCGTCATGGGCACTGGGCAGGCTCGCCCCTAACATTTTAGCCTTCTAGGGGTGTTTCTAATTTCTAAATGCAACCGCAAATCTACTATTCAGTCTGCAGTCACAATTTTTAACTCAATTAAATAAGTATTTATAAATTTTTCATTCAGCCCAGCTTCTTTTTTCTCTTCTGCTATAGCTATTTCATTTGCAGTTAATCTGTGACAAACTGTGTCTTGGCAACAGGTTTAAACATCACATTCATGTATGAGTTTTTTCCATCCATACTCGAACATTTTCCACAGTTAATATGTATTTACAAAAAATATCTTAAGCCTAGGAGTTTGAAGGAAGACATGACTGAGTTCTGAGACGGACTAGTCATTGATGCGGCACCGAGAACATTGACTTACACAAACAAAATATTGTCCTGATAACTTTAAGATCTGACTAAGGGAGTGTTTGCAATAGCTTAAAAAAAAGCACTTCTCAGCTTTTGGCTTAAAAAAGCACTTATTTACCAAACACTTCCAATTTTTACTTTTTCTCGGCTTGCGTGTGAAAAGTGCTTTTACCTTTTCTATTACACAAAAAACACTTATTTTACCAAACACTATCAACTTTTACTTTTCAAAATCACTTTTTTCTCAAACACTATCAACTTTTACTACTAATCACTTTTTCATTACATCTCCAAAAGTGCTTTTTTTAAAGCAGAAGCAATTGCAAACACTCCCTAAGTTACCAGGGCATGCGGAAGCACCTCGCTGTCAAATGCATATATCTGAAGGGACACAAACTTCTTGGCCATTTAAAACAAAGTTGAACAGATACCATGTTCACAGCCACACTAGACTCTCCCCATTTTATAGGACATTAGGATTTGGGAATTTTAAAGCGACAACACATACACCTCACAGAACTAAAACAATGATGAAATTCCAAGGGCTAGAAGCATCACTGCATGAGCTTATCAGAGCACATCCCTTTAACCGCTTAATTAAATCCGCTTAAAGTTGATGTCAATGAAAATTCATCAAGAGTCAGCATCGCAGGAATGAGACGATGGTAAACTGACCCATTACTTGTGATAGATGACTCTATTAACAACATCAACAGGAAGAGCATATGCTGGATCTATAGCTTTGAGTGCCGGGTATTCCAAGAGCGAAAGTCCTGAAGGGCAGACAAATAATGATGCAAGATAAATCAGACCACTTATTTTGTAATAGGTGCTAATCACGTGCTCGAGCGGTCAAGTTAAAACAGCCAGTTTTTGAGCGATCAAATTAGTGTACCTTTTTTTAATATAATTTACAACTGCTCAAAATGTACTGAGTGGGGTTGATAGATATTTTATGATTTTGGAGTGGCAGGATGACTTGTGATCCTACACTTACCAGCAACCCCAAAATAGGTATGGAAAACATCAACTGCATCATCTGGCCTATCTGAAATTCCACCATTTTCTATATCCTACACAATCATGAAGGCACTACTAACACCGCAATGATCAACAAAAAGTTGCTTAAGGAAAGATAAATGATCAATTGTGACTTCTGTACGAAGATTTCAACTCAGCACAAGGAGGCAGAACTCACTTGACAGTCCAGAATAAATTTTACAAGCTTCTCCTTGTCAATCCAGTGAACTCTGTCTATCATAATTAAACTGGAAAGAACCCACCAAGAGTAGCAGACCTGGAATGAAATAAACAAAATACAATGAGTAAGATCAGTCGCGTCTTAAAACCATATCAACAGATTTATGTATTTATCAAGCAAGGACAAATCGCACACATCAGGAAGCTTCTCAGGGCGGCCATTAAGACCTCCAGATTGAACTTGTCTTTCACATAACCACCAGCCAAGGAGATCTTTGTCAACATGATGCAAAGAGCCCGTTATTGCAAGAGCTCCTACACAACAAAAAACTGCAATAGGATAAAGTTAGTGCATTCAAATCACAGCATATGGCTGAAGGCATCACAGACTAGGTCCAACAATACTATGCTTGGACATTAAGGTTTGTTCAAGCATGTACCATATTAAAAAACTAGTAAAATAAAGATGAGCTTATATGCTATGAGGTTCAAGAAGCTAATTGGCTCAATTTTATAGTTTTGATTTGACTCGAACACATCATATCCCAAGATTGGGCAGAGGATTTCTATATTAGAGATTTCTTTATGCAATCTTCATTTACATATCAAATTTTAAAAAGGTAATCAAAACAATATAGGATCTAGCATTAACAAGACTTCCAAATCATTATTTTGGGTATAAAATGTATCTAAATGAATAGTTCACATGACTTCTTCTAGAATAGCATGAATATCTATATCATAATAATGCTGAAATGCTGAATAAAATTGCATGAAAGTAGGCATCCAAGATCACACAGGAGAATGCTTGAATAATGATTCTAGTAAAGATATATCTCTTCTAAGTCAAGAAACATGTTAGCAATTTCAAATAAAAGTTAGCACTATGTTGTGCAACATACTTTGTCCGGCATGTGACTCTGCCCCAGGTGTGCAACCAAATCCACCATCCATATTCTTGCAACTTAAAATGTATTGTACTGCCTTTTCCACATCAATTGCATCCAAGCATTGCAACAGTGCAAGAGAACTTAATGCAGTGTAAGAGAACCTAAAAGAAGAGTTACATTGGTAAAACTTTTCTTTCATGATAATACTATGTTAAAATAAACACTGAATAACATGCAAAATTTGTTTCATGTGTAATAAGTGAATGAAGAAACTAAGATGAGATCATGAGAGAACAAAAAAATATAAGAAAGGTTTGAAAGTGCAGTTGATTACCTTGTATCAACTTCACCCCACATGTCACCAGAAAAAGAACCATCTTCATTTTGCAGGTTGACAATATCTGGCTAAATAGTCAAGTTCAACACCTAAATTCAATCTCGGAGTTGTTACACATTCACAGTTTTGATTGAAACATAAAGTTGAATTCTGGCTAAAAAGTTTTTAAAAAAACATAAAAGACAATACACTAGAAATATAGAATGTATATCCCTATTGATAAAGTGGAGAACTTATGTGGTGAATGAAAGTAAAATACAATTCATGTCAAGATTCAAGAATCAAGAAAGGATACATTTTGAAACCCTGCCAGTGTCAAGAACATCAAGCTTATCAAATAGCGCTAAAACTTGGATGGCACTAAGGGTATACAAGATATGTGGGTCGTGTCCAATGTTACCACCAAATCCACCTGCACAGATAAACACAAGGTACTCTATATTGTAAATGTAGCACTAATTAGCCAGATTTCAGGCACTATGGCTAGTTCATCATCCCATATATCAAATTAGTTTTAAATAAGCTAATCCTTCTGTTATATCCAAGAAATATGAAAAAACAATTATTCTCTCCCAAATATGAAACCAATAAAGACCAAAAGGGTGGCAGGCAGGCATTATAATCATATTTAGTGGTTCCTTTTGCGAATCTACATTGTGACTCCAGTTAAATACACAAACTGTGTGCATCAACTCACCAAGTAACACCTTATCCAAAAGAGAAAATATCTCAATAAAACTATACAACAACATCCATGCCTTAGTCCCCAAAGAAATTGGGGTCGGCTAACATGAATTAACATATGAAATAGGAGCAGGGAAAATATCTCAACAAAATTATTAAAATTAAGAGAACTAGCAAATTGTACATGCTGATCAAAATTTAGAGATCAACCAATAAAAAGAACTTAGTATGATAAGACAAACCAGATTCATCTTGACACTGCATGATCCAAGGAATAACCTCATCTCGGTCCACTACATCAATCTTTCCTAGGATATCAAGCGTTGTCAATCCCCAGTAAGCTCCATTTAATCTTAGATGCTCCATCACCACAGATTCGAAATCATCTTTCCTCTGAAAGTAAGACAAATAAACATTGTAAAGATTATTCATTTAACAAAACACCCACTTAGTGTATAGTAGATAAAAAATTACCATGTTGAAAAATACATATTTAAATATTTGACACTAAAACGTTATATACTAACAGGGCAATTAACAAGTTCAAATATTAGAAAAGTATAATACTTTAACGAGAAAAAAACAAGTTCATATGTCAGACCACCTGCCCCAATGTGGTAACTAAATTTAGATAATCAGTTGACTCGATAAATTTCATTGCACCAACCCAGCGTGGTTGGGATTAAGGTGATGCTTATAATAAAAAACACCATCTTGTTTCTGTTATTAAGTGAAGCGATAAATCCGATAATCACAGTAAATTCATTAATGAAAAGAACACATATTAGATATTACTACATGATTAAGAGCCCATTCTCTTTAATATGGTTCATAAGAACAACAAGTAAATAAAAGAAATATAAAAAATTCTGACCAATTCTGACCTTTTCAACTGATATAATGTACTTAACATGCTTTTCCACCACAAGCCCTTCCATTCTGCCATTTGAGACATATCAATGCAAGTTATGCGAGGTACCAACTACCAACTACCAATTGTTCAAAAATATAAATAAGATATCCATAGTAAACAAGTTAATGCTGTTGTTATTATTATTATTATTATTATTATTATTATTATTACTATTATTATTACTATTATTATTACTATTATTATTATTATTATCATTATTATCATCATTATTGTTATAAAACTATGTATCTTCAATTGAAAGATCATACTTGTAATCTTAGGTCTGAATTTGTTCTCTAGAAAGAAATGAAATTTTGGATGATTAATTTCCATATTTTCATTCTTATGAACTATAGATATTTCCAAGAGAAGAGCATTTGAAATAAGATGGTATAAAGTTCCCTGCGGTTCTTGACGATTGTCTTAGAACCACAAACATCTAAATAAAAACATTGGAACCAATAAAAGAATAAGTTGGGCATGTACTCCATTACTGGTTTTTTATATTAGAATGTACAGGCTAGATGTTTACTTTAAAGTTGTCATCAGTTAGTAATATTATCTTTTTTTTTTCAATTCTAGAGAGTGACTCTAAAGTCATGCTTGTGAGCTTGTCAACATTGAGTAGCGTGTAGGCTAGGTATGGGTCTTAATTTTGTATTTAAGAAGATGGAGAAAGATAGATGAAGAACAAAAACTATTACGGAGTATAAACTCAAATGAAATACTTAAGGTGTGTGATATTCTATTAGATGCTGAAGTTACAAAATAATGGTAAATCATGCCAGGTTTAGTTTAGCAAAGTCATAGCCGATTAAGCTTAATTGGTAATGACTTTGCTAAACTAAACCTCAATTAAATTAAAAGACTAAGGATATTTTTATTTGGAGTGAAATTTTTTAGCCTATTATGTTCTGTTTAAGTCTTGTCTGAACTAGTGGGGTAGATGTCTGGTCTATGTGTATTTTACAATTCTTGAAGTCTAGTCTGATCTTTTTAAATTTGGTCTAGTCTGGTCTTTTAAATTGTGGTCTGGTATGTGCAGGTCTGGACTGAAATCAGTCCAAGTTAAAAGATCGCGTGTACACTTCTCTAGCATGAAAATGCTTCTTTTGATATAGAATTCCATAAAATCACGTGAAAGCATATCAATACATAAGGCATGCAAGTTAAAGCATACGTTCATTTTCAGATTTTAAAAGTTATAAAAATAGAAATACTCCATTCACAACAATAATTGACAGACAAAAGAGTTTCATTCATCCTAACTCATGCGGAGAAATTTAGCAGATAAAGACATACACACATTGTGAGTATTTAGGCTATAAGTTTAAGCAAAGATAATTGATATATATAGATTTATCAAATAGTCCACAAATGAATATGTATTTGTACCTGAAAGAAAAATATTTAAACAAAAGGGAATAACTTATCAAAATAAAACTTGCTGCAAAAGCTTATAAAATATAACTGCTTGTTTGTTTTAGGTTTCATGGTTAAAGAGTGTGGGAATGAAGTCCATATTTGAGTTCATGGTTAAAGAAGATAAATCAAGACCCGAAAACGGAAAGCAACTAAACATGAAAGAAAGACGAAAAATCTAGATCCAAAAATGGACTTAATTGCCATCGCACTAATCAGTAAAATCTCTTCAAAAATACAAGAGATGGAGAGAAGATAAATCATAGAAAAAAGAAGAGAAAATTACCTTTTTCGATATGACCTTAAAACCAAAGCAGCTTTTATACGCCAGATACTCCAAGAAATGTAATGTAAGGTACTGCCTATGGCCTTTGAAGCTTAAACCTTTCACTCAAATTACACCCATCGTCAAAAGAGGGCATCCCTATATGAGGGAAAGCAGCCAAACGGCATTTGAAGAAAAAAAAATTGCAAGCTAAAAAGAAGCAATTTTTTTACTTGCCCTTGCTGAGGATCGAGCTTTCGATAACTCGCCAAACAGGCGACCTAACTATGACTGCGTTACAGGGGCATCAATGTCAAGTTGGAGGTGCTCAAATAGAAAATTTTTTATGGAGCCGCAGACTCTCTCACGGAGTCACATAGGTTATTGTGGCATCACCACAATCACATATTATTTTATTGAGGATACCCACTAAAATAATGTATGGTGGTGGTGATGCCACAATAGCCTATGTGACTCCATAAGAGAGTCACATATGGCTCCATAAAATTACTCGCTCAAATAGATGTTACTCCCTGTAAAAAGGGAAAATGGTCAAATAGTCCATCGAATTTATATAAAAGTTAAATAAATCTTTATATAGGAGGCTCTGTCCGGCCATCGTCATTTGGGGCAGTTTCCGTTGAAATTTTTTGATCATCTTATTCATTAAGTCTAGTTTACTCATACCAAATTTCAGCTAACAATTCAATCGGGAAGGCGTTCAAATGAATTTTTGAATATAGCCGCACTTTATCTTCAAGAATTTATTAGAATGTCTTCCCGGTTGAATTGTTAGCTGAAATTTGCTATGAGAAAACTGGACTTAATGAATAAGATGGTCAAAACAATTCATAAAAAAATTCCACCGGGAACCGTCTCAAATGGCGACGTCCGGACAAAGCCTCCTATATATGGGCTTATTTGACATTTTTTATGTAAGTTCGATGGTCTATCTTACCCTTTTCCCGTGTAAAAAAACAGTATTATTAGTTGTTAGTATTTTTTCTAATATGAATCTTGTTAACTTTTTAGTAAAAGTCTTGCATGATCAAGTTTAAAGATGTGTTTTTCCTTAGACTGTAATTTGTTGGTCTGATCTGGTCTGGTCTGATCGGGTCTTGTCTGGTTTCTTTATCTTTTTAATAACTATCCAAGTCTGATCTGGTCTGGTCCGGTCTAGTCTGGTCTGATCTGGTCTGTTCTTGTCTGGTCTGATCTGGTATGGTCTGGTCTGGGACGAATTACAGTCCAAGTAAAAACATCCTAATTCTATTTTGAGTGTGTGTTTGTATATGTGAAATAATAAATAATTGTTGGCTAGTTACATACTTCCTGCTGTCTCTTAAAACTTTGTCATCTTTTCATTTTTGTGACGTCCCAAAAAACTTTGTCACTTTTCCTTTTAATCAATTATTTTGTGGTTTTGTGTTATTTCTCTCTCCTCTGCACAAACTCAACCACACTGTTATTATTATCCGTGCCGGTCAACTTTGGGAAAATTTTAAGGGACGAAGGTAGTATAATAGAAAAATTATCAATGATACATCGATCGTTGCCATAACAAAATTAACTAAAAATTATCTAAGTCTATACATGTAATACTTGAGATAAATCTAAAGCGGTTAGTAAAGTAATTACTAACGGTCAATAATTTCTTGGTACAAGCTAACAAATATTCCAACTCTAAGAAATGTGTCGGTGTTGATCTTACCTAAGGGTGGACTCGGGTCGGGCCGCACGGCCCGGAACTGGACCGACCCGGTACTGTTGGGCCCGGCCCGGCCCGGTATGTCACGCCCCAGACCGCAATCCAAGCGCGTGTACAACCGCCGTATAACTAAGTGACGTCACCCACGAGTCAACCCCACTTAATTACACAAGGCGTTCGAGAAAACAATTCATCCATACTCAGTAGTAAACATACATAACAACATCACATTTAAACCAATGAATAGCGGAAATATTCAACGGTAAGTCATGAGCCACAACCGGCCAACAACATGGGCATGCAAGCCCAAAAAGTGTTTATAGTAAAACAAATATCCATGAGCAAGTGTTCGGTAGTTTGAAAGAAAATAAGGAAGCACGAACCACGTCTTCCTGATTTGATATCACCCGTGAGAAGGTGCAAGTAGCAAGCCCTAGCTTCAACCTGAAAATGGTGGGGCCCCCCGAAGGGGTCAGTACAAGTACCGAGCGAGTAGCAGGCTAAATATAGAATAACTAGCGTTTCAAGTATAAGACCCAAACATAGGGTGATACTTAAATAGATAGTCTTTCCCCAAGTTATGAAATACTTATTAGTATATATATATATACTTGGAAAATATCCGATCCGTAGATCACCATTTTATTCGGGAAAATAGTAATAGTCAATATTCTTGACTAAAAACCCCAACCCACCCATATACCTATGAGTGTATAGGACTCCTCCTTGTCCCTACTTGTATATCACAATCTATGAGTTTTAGGATCATAATCCTTGGATACTCCACCGGTTTGTGAGTGTTAAGGACTCATAAGTCCTAGGGTCCTCCACCAAGTTTTTGAGTGTTAAGTACTTTTAAGTACTAGGGTCCTCCACCAAGTTTGAGTGTTAAGGACTTTTAAGTCCTAGGGTCCTCCACCAAGTTTTGAGTGTTAAGTACTTTTAAGTACTAGGGTCCTCCACCAAGTTTGAGTGTTAAGGACTTTTAAGTCCTAGGGTCCTCCACCAAGTTTTGAGTGTTAAGTACTTTTAAGTACTAGGGTCCTCCACCAAGTTTGAGTGTTAAGGACTTTAAGTCCTAGGGTCCTCCACCAAGTTTTCCTATGATCAACCTCTTATCAACCTAGATAGAGTCTATATCATCCTTAGTTACTCATAACTAATCCAATACATAAATCTTATGTATCACAATCCATGCAAAGCCATGCATTTAAATAAATGTATAATTAACTAACATCAACCGATATTAATTAATCCATCATCCATCGGTCAACGTTGTCGTTGACCGCCAATTCAAGCCTTGTACATATCAACTTAATCATCATATAATTAAGTCAATAATACTCATTTGAGCTTCTTTTACACTTCAAGCTAATGTGCATTTTATATAATCTCTCATATCATATTTCATGCATAATCAATTAATTCTTTTCATACAACTTGATAATGTTGGCTAATCACATGTTTAAATATCTTTTAAACATCATTATGAAAACATATAACATTTATTTAGGTAATCTCATAATTAACCCAAAAGTTATAAGATATTAAGCCGTCCACTCACCTTGAACTAGCGTTATGAAGTTCTACTCTTCTTGGTTGAACTCCGGTGAAACTCCGGCGACTTTTGGTCAACTCCGGCGACTACTCCGGCGACTTTTCCAACTTTGTGAAATCACATGAAATACCCTTTACAAGTTCCTAACAAGGTTTTATAATCATAAAACCCATGTTAATACAAATAACCTCAAAAAGGTTATTTTCCGGTGAACCGGTCGTTTTGGCTTCTAAGTCCGTTCTTGGACATAGAATCACTTTCCAACCCATTAATCCATACTTATAACATGTAGAACCCTCTTGAGGATCCTTCACATGATATGTATCTCATATGGTAGGAGAAAAATAAAGAAAAAGTTATGATAAGGTTCTTACCTTAGTTTTCACACCTTTTCCTAGTTTTTTTTTTCTTCTATAATCTTCCTCCTTGGACTCCTATTGCTTGGGCTTTGTTCTTGGATATGGAGGATGTATTTTGCAGGGGGTTTCCTCTCCTCTTGATGAGCCTTGGCCGAAAATGAGGGTGGGGGTGAGAGGAAATGCCAACTTTTGGCTTATTCCACCATGATAACATGGCAAGGACCCCCCATGTGTCCTTTTGATGCCAATCCCCTCAAGTCAACCACTCCCACACCCCTCCTCTCCAATCAGCCAGCCTCCCCTCCTCTCACAGCCCACAAAAAAACGTGGGGTGGCCCCCACTCATGTGGGAGGTCATCCCTTTGTGTCCCGGTGTGTACAATCGGTCCCGAAAGTTGTATTTTTCGGACTGTTTTAAATATATTTTATTTTATCGGGTCAAATAAAATATATTATGTGCTCTTACTCATTATGACATGTATAATGAATATACATTCCCCAACTTTAATTTATAAGTCTCCGAAATTCAGTTCGGGCCGTTATTCGTTAATTTACCAGTACCGGTAATTTGGGCTTCTATTGATCGATCGGTCAACTCTGGGCCTTTCCATGGCCCAAATGAAATATCCACCACTATATATTTATTATCTAGACCAAGATGAATAAAATATGTGGTCTCGGGAATGTCGGGCGGCCTCCGCTCCCGGTGTGGGTCCCACGTGCAATTTACTATTCACGCGAAAGAAATAATAAAAATTTACAACTTCGTAAATTCATTAATCCCTTAGTAAGGTTCAATACATTATTTACATAAAAGTAAATATGTTTGGGGACGGTGTTACAAGTTCACCCCCCCTTATTTGGGATTTCGTCCCCGAAATCCAAGTGTCTAATCGAAAAGGAATGGGTATTGCTCCCTCATTGAGGCCTCGGTCTCCCAAGTTTCCTCTTCGACTCGATCACTCCTCCAAAGAACCTTTACCATAGGAATCTCCTTGTTCCTAAGTTTCTTCACTTGTTGACCAACTACCTTCACCGGCTCTACCGCATATTGCAAATCCTCACGGATCTCTACTGGCGGTTTCTCAAGAATATGAGAGGGATCCCGTATGTACTTCTTGAGCATTGATACATGAAACACATCATGTATCTTCTCAAGTTCCGGCGTTAACTTGAGACGATAAGCCACAGCTCCAATCCTTTCAAGGATCTCAAATGGACCAATGTATCGGGGGTTAAGCTTTCCCCTCGATACAAATCGAATGATGCCCTTCCAAGGAGAAATCCTTAGGAAGACCTCATCACCGACTTCGAACTCCAACGGTCTCCGCCGTTTATCAGCATAACTCTTCTGTCGGTCCTGAGCAGCCTTCAATCTATCCCGAATGACCCTTACCTTGGCCTTGGTGATCTCAACCAGCTCTATCCCTTCGAGTTTGGCCTCGCCAACCTCGTCCCAACACAACGGTGTTCTGCACTTCCTCCCATACAATGCCTCATATGGTGGCATGCCGATACTTGCTTGATAGCTGTTGTTATAAGCAAACTCCACTAGAGCCAAATGCTTGTCCCAACTTCCTTGGAACTCCAAAGCACATGCCCTAAGCATGTCTTCCAGAATCTGTATCACCCGCTCGGACTGTCCATCCGTCTGTGGGTGAAAAGCTGTGCTAAACTTCAGTTTAGTCCCCAAAGATGCTTGAAACTTTGGCCAAAATCGGGATGTGAATCGTGGATCCCTATCCGAGACAATGGATATTGGGACTCCATGTAATCTCACAATCTCCTCCGTGTAAAGCTTGGCCAATCTTTCAAGAGGATAAGTAATGTTGATAGGCAGAAAGTGTGCACTCTTGGTGAGCCTATCAACCACTACCCATACGGCATCGTAGTTGTTCACTGTTCGTGGCAGCCCCACCACGAAGTCCATGGTCACATGTTCCCACTTCCACTCTGGGATAGTGAGCGGTTGTAAGAGCCCTGCTGGGTGCTGATGCTCTGCCTTAACTTGCTGGCAAGTAAGGCATCGACTCACAAACTCTGCGATATCTCTTTTCATACCTGACCACCAGTAACTTTCCTTCAGATCTCGGTACATCTTAGTACCTCCTGGATGCATAGCATAAGCCGAAGAATGAGCCTCCTCAAGTATAGACTTCTGGAGTTCCTCATTCTTTGGTATGCATACACGATCCTTAAACAATAATAGACCGTCATCACGTACTCGAAAGTTCTCAACGGGTCCTTCAAGGATTCTTTCACGGATCTTCTGACATTCTCCATCAATGGCCTGACTTCGACTAATCTCACCCAATAGGGTGGGTCTAACCTCAAATTGAGCAATGAGAGCCCCGCACGTGGACACCTCCACGCGTGCCCTAAATGCCTGCAGACAAGTAAGCAACGTCCCTGACGTACTCTTCCTGCTCAGTGCGTCGGCCACTACGTTGGCCTTTCCGGGATGATAGTCGATGATCAAGTCATAGTCCTTGATCAACTCCATCCATCTCCTTTGTCTCATATTCAGCTCTTTTTGAGTGAATACATACTTCAAGCTCTTATGATCGGTATAAATGTGACATGTCTCCCCGTAGAGATAATGCCTCCAAATTTTTAGTGCAAACACTACCGCCCCCAACTCTAGATCGTGAGTAGGGTAGTTCACCTCGTGTTTCCTCAATTGCCTAGAAGCATAGGCAATCACCTTACCGTTTTGCATTAGTACACATCCGAGCCCTTGGATGCTAGCATCGCTGTAAATGTCATACCCTATCCCCTGTATGGGTAGGGCAAGGACTGGTGCTTCGGTAAGTCGTTTCTTCAATTCAAGGAACCCCTTCTCACACTTGTCGTCCCATATGAACTTGGCCCCTTTCTTTGTGAGCTTCGTTAATGGAGACGCCAATACGGAGAATTTTTCAACAAATTTACGGTAGTATCCCGCTAAGCCAAGGAAACTACGTATCTCTTTCACATTCTTGGGTCTCTCCCAATCCATGATAGCTTTTATCTTGGCGTTATCCACAGCTACGCCCGAACCGGATATGACGTGACCGAGAAAACCAATCTCCTTGAGCCAAAATTCGCATTTAGAGAACTTGGCAAAGAGTTGCTTTCCCCTCAGCCGATCAAGTATAAGCCCCAAATGATGCTCGTGTTCCTCCTCGCTCTTGGAGTATATCAAGATGTCATCAATGAATACTATCACAAATTGATCTAAGTATTCACTAAACACCCGGTTCATCAAGTCCATGAATGCTGCCGGTGCGTTGGTTAAACCAAATGACATCACAAGGAACTCGTAATGACCGTACCTAGTGCGGAATGCACTCTTAGGTATGTCGCTCTCCTCGATCTTCAACTGATGATACCCCGACCTCAAATCAATCTTTGAGAACACTATTGCCCCCCGAAGTTGATCAAACAAGTCATCAATCCTCGGTAAGGGATACCTGTTCTTGATTGTGACCTTGTTCAACTGTCGGTAGTCAATACACATTCTTAGTGTACCATCCTTCTTCTTCACGAAGAGTACGGGTGCCCCCCACGGTGAATGACTGGGTCTGATGAACCCGTTGTCCAGTAATTCTTGTAGTTGGACCTTCAACTCTTGGAGTTCGGCCGGTGCCATTCAATAAGGAGGAATCGAAATGGGTTTGGTTCCCGGCTCCACTTCAATTACAAACTCTATCTCTCTATCGGGTGGAAGCCCCGGTAGGTCTTTGGGAAAGACATCCGGGTATTTGCACACGACCCGTACATCCTTGATGTCGACTTCCTTCTTGGTATCGTCCACCACGTAGGCAAGGTATGCGTGGCATCCCTTCCTCATCATCTTCCGTGCTCTCATCACGGATATTATACAAGCATTAGATTTCCCCCGATCTCCCTCGAAACATAGTGTGTTTCCTTGATCATCCTCGAGCTCTAACACCTTGGTGTAGCAATCTACTCGAGCATGGTGTTTCTCGAGCCAATCCATTCCTAGGATTGCATCGAACTCCAACATGCTTAGAGGTACGAAATCACAAGTCAAAGGTTGACCCGTCACTTCTACCTCGCATGACGGATAGTAATGATTTCTCTCCACGTCGTCTCCTAACGGTGTGGAGACTAGCAATGTTTGCGTCATAGGTGTCAATGGCACGTCAAGGCCCTCGGCGAACGCCTCACTCACAAATGAGCGTTGTGCCCCGGTATCGATGAGGATCCTCGCACACCTACCATTGATCTTTAATGTTCCTACATTTATACACCATGTAAGATACCTTTTCTAATGTTTTTACACATTTTTAGGAGGTTATTAGGCTCATACTAATGTCTGGAATCAAACGGGGGTCCAAACGTAGAAGAACGGGGCGGAAAAATCAATTTTCGGGTGTTGGGGGGTCCACGCACGGCGTGCCTGGGTGGCACGCACGGTCGTGCGTGCTTGAAAATCAGAGATCCGCCACTGCCGGCTACGCACGATCGTGCGTAGCTGGTCACGCACGATCGTGCGTCCCAGGCACGGCGTGCCTGACCTGCACGCACGGCGTGCGTCTGTGCGGAATAAGGCCAGGGGCTACTGCCTCGCACGCACGGTCGTGCGTCTGTGGGTACGCGCGATCGCGCGTAGTTGTTTTTAGCCCGTTTCGCCCCGAATTCGCGGGGTTTGACCCCGGGGTGGCCCGCACCCAAACCCAATGACTTATATGACCCAAATAAGCCTAGAAATACAGGAAAATAAGTGTATTACCTGCAACGGAGTCCGGGTTTGCTCGCGCATCCGCCTCGGTCATTGCGTACACTCGTGCTTGGGTCCCGCCTTGATTTACGGACGCGGCATGGCTTGTGGACGCGCCGCCTCTTCCCGTCCCGCCGTTTGACGGGCCCGCACGGTTCCTTCCCGTCATGGTTCCTCCTCCGGATCCCGGAGCTCCTCCTCCCCCTAATTGTGGGCAATTGGCCTTCATGTGGCCCGTGTTCCCGCATTGATAACACCTTGGGGGTGCATTGCACTTCCCAAAATGATTTTTCGAACAGTTGGCACACTTTGGAGGCCCCGTCCTTTGTGAGGAGGATGCATGCCACCGAGCATCCCTGTTCTTCTTTGCCGGTGGTGCCGGTGTCTTGAACGAACCGCCACCTCCACCGTGCTTATCCTTCCGTGCATGCTCGGGCGGCCCCGAACTTTGCCATTTCCTCTTTTTCGCCTCCTCGGCGTCTCTCTCTTTTCTCTCATTCCATTGGGCCTCCCCAAGAAGGCCCTGCTCCACCACCTCACTGAAGGTCATGTGGCGCGAGTACGTAGCTCGGTCACGAATGTCCAAGAGTAGGGCATCCCAAAAGTGCTCCGTCATGCGGTTCTCATCAACCGCGTACTCCGGCAAGAACCTAGCCAAGGTTCTAAACTCTTGTTCCAGTTGTTTAACTGTGCCGCCATCTTTCTGTTTGAGGTTAGTGTACTCTCTCCGTTTCACATTCACCTCGTACTCGGAGTAGTATTGAGCATAGAACTCTAGCTCAAAGTCCGCCCATGTTATTTCCCCATGGTACTTCCCCTCCACGCTCTCCCACCACGTAGAGGCTATCCCTTCAAGTAGCCGTGAAGCGACAGTCAACTTCACGTCCGGTGTGATTTGCATGTCTCTTGATGCATCCTTCACCTTCTTAATCCAATCGGCGGCAACGGTAATGTCACCGGTGCCGTCAAAGGACCTACACCCCAAGGCCCTAGCCTCCTTGAGGTACTTGGAGATTCTCACGACAAAACCTCCTTCACGCCCACCTTGTGACGCCGCTGGGGTGGCCACGGAAGCTCCCCGGCTTCCTTGACCCGAACCACCGCGAGAGCCACGCCTCGCTTGGCGCCTAAGGTCCCTCCTCAATTTTTCTTTTTGATACCATTCAAGCAACTCGCCCATTTGGGCGAACTTGGCATCACTCTCTTCATCATCATCATCGGTGTACGTGTCACCCCCATCATACGGGGTCTCTTCATGCTCTGTCTCTGGCACGTAGGTTGAGTCGTAGTCTTCGGTGTTGGTCTCATACACCGAGCTCACATGGCCATCACTCACAGTTTGAGCTTGATGACCTCCACGGCTTCCACGGCCTCCACGGCCTCCTCTCGAACCCCGAGATGCAGCCCGGCTTCCCCTTTGGGATGCTACCGGCGCCTGCCCCCTCGGATTGTTCCTGGTCCTCATTCGCCTGCCCTCCATTTCTGAAAGAAATATGGATGAGTCATTAGACTCCTATAAATGTCAACTGACGGAAGAACGTTACAGACACATATTGGCCCAAGTCACTACCATACCAATTGTTAAGGGTACCGTCTTAACAATTAGAGGCCTTGCAACTCAAGCACCAATAGTCCTATAAACGTCAAAATACAATGCTCATGGTTTTCGGTAAAAACTCTTTTGTAAAATCTTTTGTGAGAGGTTGATTATAATGTTTAGAACTGAGATGGCTCTGATACCACTTAATTGTCACGCCCCAGACCGCAATCCAAGCGCGTGTACAACCGCCGTATAACTAAGTGACGTCACCCACGAGTCAACCCCACTTAATTACACAAGGCGTTCGAGAAAACAATTCATCCATACTCAGTAGTAAACATACATAACAACATCACATTTAAACCAATGAATAGCGGAAATATTCAACGGTAAGTCATGAGCCACAACCGGCCAACAACATGGGCATGCAAGCCCAAAAAGTGTTTATAGTAAAACAAATATCCATGAGCAAGTGTTCGGTAGTTTGAAAGAAAATAAGGAAGCACGAACCACGTCTTCCTGATTTGATATCACCCGTGAGAAGGTGCAAGTAGCAAGCCCTAGCTTCAACCTGAAAATGGTGGGGCCCCCCGAAGGGGTCAGTACAAGTACCGAGCGAGTAGCAGGCTAAATATAGAATAACTAGCGTTTCAAGTATAAGACCCAAACATAGGGTGATACTTAAATAGATAGTCTTTCCCCAAGTTATGAAATACTTATTAGTATATATATATATACTTGGAAAATATCCGATCCGTAGATCACCATTTTATTCGGGAAAATAGTAATAGTCAATATTCTTGACTAAAAACCCCAACCCACCCATATACCTATGAGTGTATAGGACTCCTCCTTGTCCCTACTTGTATATCACAATCTATGAGTTTTAGGATCATAATCCTTGGATACTCCACCGGTTTGTGAGTGTTAAGGACTCATAAGTCCTAGGGTCCTCCACCAAGTTTTTGAGTGTTAAGTACTTTTAAGTACTAGGGTCCTCCACCAAGTTTGAGTGTTAAGGACTTTTAAGTCCTAGGGTCCTCCACCAAGTTTTGAGTGTTAAGTACTTTTAAGTACTAGGGTCCTCCACCAAGTTTGAGTGTTAAGGACTTTTAAGTCCTAGGGTCCTCCACCAAGTTTTGAGTGTTAAGTACTTTTAAGTACTAGGGTCCTCCACCAAGTTTGAGTGTTAAGGACTTTAAGTCCTAGGGTCCTCCACCAAGTTTTCCTATGATCAACCTCTTATCAACCTAGATAGAGTCTATATCATCCTTAGTTACTCATAACTAATCCAATACATAAATCTTATGTATCACAATCCATGCAAAGCCATGCATTTAAATAAATGTATAATTAACTAACATCAACCGATATTAATTAATCCATCATCCATCGGTCAACGTTGTCGTTGACCGCCAATTCAAGCCTTGTACATATCAACTTAATCATCATATAATTAAGTCAATAATACTCATTTGAGCTTCTTTTACACTTCAAGCTAATGTGCATTTTATATAATCTCTCATATCATATTTCATGCATAATCAATTAATTCTTTTCATACAACTTGATAATGTTGGCTAATCACATGTTTAAATATCTTTTAAACATCATTATGAAAACATATAACATTTATTTAGGTAATCTCATAATTAACCCAAAAGTTATAAGATATTAAGCCGTCCACTCACCTTGAACTAGCGTTATGAAGTTCTACTCTTCTTGGTTGAACTCCGGTGAAACTCCGGCGACTTTTGGTCAACTCCGGCGACTACTCCGGCGACTTTTCCAACTTTGTGAAATCACATGAAATACCCTTTACAAGTTCCTAACAAGGTTTTATAATCATAAAACCCATGTTAATACAAATAACCTCAAAAAGGTTATTTTCCGGTGAACCGGTCGTTTTGGCTTCTAAGTCCGTTCTTGGACATAGAATCACTTTCCAACCCATTAATCCATACTTATAACATGTAGAACCCTCTTGAGGATCCTTCACATGATATGTATCTCATATGGTAGGAGAAAAATAAAGAAAAAGTTATGATAAGGTTCTTACCTTAGTTTTCACACCTTTTCCTAGTTTTTTTTTTCTTCTATAATCTTCCTCCTTGGACTCCTATTGCTTGGGCTTTGTTCTTGGATATGGAGGATGTATTTTGCAGGGGGTTTCCTCTCCTCTTGATGAGCCTTGGCCGAAAATGAGGGTGGGGGTGAGAGGAAATGCCAACTTTTGGCTTATTCCACCATGATAACATGGCAAGGACCCCCCCATGTGTCCTTTTGATGCCAATCCCCTCAAGTCAACCACTCCCACACCCCTCCTCTCCAATCAGCCAGCCTCCCCTCCTCTCACAGCCCACAAAAAAACGTGGGGTGGCCCCCACTCATGTGGGAGGTCATCCCTTTGTGTCCCGGTGTGTACAATCGGTCCCGAAAGTTGTATTTTTCGGACTGTTTTAAATATATTTTATTTTATCGGGTCAAATAAAATATATTATGTGCTCTTACTCATTATGACATGTATAATGAATATACATTCCCCAACTTTAATTTATAAGTCTCCGAAATTCAGTTCGGGCCGTTATTCGTTAATTTACCAGTACCGGTAATTTGGGCTTCTATTGATCGATCGGTCAACTCTGGGCCTTTCCATGGCCCAAATGAAATATCCACCACTATATATTTATTATCTAGACCAAGATGAATAAAATATGTGGTCTCGGGAATGTCGGGCGGCCTCCGCTCCCGGTGTGGGTCCCACGTGCAATTTACTATTCACGCGAAAGAAATAATAAAAATTTACAACTTCGTAAATTCATTAATCCCTTAGTAAGGTTCAATACATTATTTACATAAAAGTAAATATGTTTGGGGACGGTGTTACACGGTACCCGGTCTGGGGGCCGGTTTGGGGCAAACGGAACCGCTCCAATCCCAGTGCGGGCTCGGGCCCCCTAAAATGCGAACCGGCCCGGCCGGTTCGGGCCTATTTGTTTTCAATTTTTTTTGTTTCTACCGGGTTGGGCTGGGTGTTTGGGGGTGGGGGTGGGGGTGAAGGGGGGGGGGGGTCGAGGGTTTATTTAGAAAATCAAAAGAAAAAAAAATAACATTGAACCGGAACCGGCCCGAACCGGCCCGGCCCGGAACCGCCGGCTACCCGGGCCGGTTTCGGTTCCACCATTCCCAAATAAAAGCCCGGCCGGGCCCAAGCCCGAACCGGAACCGGCCCAGCCCGGGTCCATCCCTAATCTTACCGACGACACATACATCATTTGATCTTACCGACGGCGACGACACATATGGTAACACTCACATTTAAGTGGAATTGCATAATTTTTGTTGGTATAGTTAGATGATGTGATGTCTATTCCAATAATTTATATTAGGGGTGGGCGCGGTCCGGTCCGGTCCAATATTTGGCCGAACCCGTACTCGTACCGTTACTATTCAAACGGTTCGGTTCGGTCTTAGACCTAAACCCGTTCGGTACGGTTTCATTTTGAAACGGGACGGTACCATGTCATACCAATATCAAACAATGCCACTTTTTCCAAGTGTTTAAGAGACAATTAAAGTTTAGTCTTCCTCCAAAAATCTACACAATTTATCAATTTTCATACTCATTCCATCCCAAATTGACATGCAAAGTCAATATTTTTTGGTCAACCAATGTTAGAGTTGAATTCTCTTCATTGATAATTAATTCAATTTGTAATAATTAAAATAAACATATTCAGAAACCACATTGAAATTTCTTCAAAGTTGCAAGCTCCAAATTAAATATAATTAAAAATTGACATTCTAGTTAAGTGAATAAAATGAATCTATTTGACAAAAAAAAAGTTAATTTTGCAAATAAATTTGGGGCGAAGGTAGTATTACATAATTAATAAATTTCAGATAAATTATAGTAGTACAAATTTAAATGATTAAATCATACATCGGTCCGATTCCAGGCTTCCTATGAACTAGCAAAGACAGTGAAAATGTAAAGGCACTAGTCAAAATAATGGTATAAATGTAAATTTAAATAATTAAATCATACTTCGGTCTGGTTCGGTCCGGTTTCGGTTCTCATTTTATGAGTACCGGTCATGGCATTGTTCAGAATCGGTACGGTTCGGTTCGGGACAAAAAAATTGAGATCCGTTTCAAACCCCGTTTTTCGGTCCGGTACCATATCGGTTCGGTTCGGTTCGGTACCATGCCGGTTCGGTATTTTTGCCCACCCCTAATTTATATACTTATACTAACGGTTTAGTTACTATTAGTGTATGATAATTTGTTTGTAGTGAAGATTTAAACTACCCTCTCCTCTTTGGAAAAAAACTACTCCGTATGATTTTAGTACCCAAAATAAAACATAAAGTATAAATCAACGTGTACATTTGTCATTTACCAAAATAAAAACTTCGTATTTGATTCATTTTAAATCACAAAAAATGAAGTTTCCCCAATGCCTTATCCAAAACTGGTCGATCTTGTCCAAAACATTTCCTACTATCTATCCATAAAGGAAGCATATTATTCAACTAAGTATTTCGATCTTGTCTTATACATGTTTTGCCCAAACGTGGTCAAAGAAAATGTTATATATTCATTAGGTTTATATTTATCATGAACATTGGATCATGTAAATGTGATACAACTGAGGTGAAATAAGTTATAAGTTCATTCACTCATAAATCATAATGTGATGAGGTTGACTCCAAAGGGGATCTATGTATGAGTTATGGTAGGTTCTAATTTTTCGATATTTTTGAGTCTTAATGTAATTTCTCTTCAATCCAGGACATCTCAGATTCCTGGATCCACCCTCGTTGACTCTAACAAACTAAAAACTTCACACCATTATTAAGGATGTTCCAGTTTGCACCTCTTCATGAATATTTAGAATTACCTCCATTCCATTGGAAATTGTCAATATTGAGTTGGGTACTTGGGTCATTGGGTGTGAAATAAGTGTCCTTCAAGGAATATGTAAAATACGTAAACTGCAACTCTGAGTTTCAGATACAAATAGGGATGGACTCGGGCCGGGCCAACCGGCCCGGAACCGGACCGGCCCGCTACTGTGCGGGCCCGGACCGGCCCGGTCAACCGGTTCGGTTCCGGTTCGGGCCTCCAGGCCCGGTGGTATACCGGTCCGGGCCCGGGCCTCCAGTTTAGTGAACCGGCCCGGCCGGGCCGGGCCCGGTTCGGGCCGAAATTTAATTTTTTTTTTTTGAAATTTTTTTTAAGTTTTGGGTTGGATTAGGTATTTTGGGCCATTTGAGGTGGTTTGGGGTGGTTTGGGGTGGAGGGGGAGGGGTAGGGGGTTAAATAAGAGAAGAAGAAAAAAAAAAAACATTCCGGGTGGCCCGGCCCGGCCCGGCCCGGTTCTGGCCCGGAACCGGAACCGGAACCGCCCACCACCGGTTCGGGCCCGGGCCTCCTTTTTCTGAACCGAGGCCCGGCCGGGCCCAGGCCCGAACCGGGCCCGAACCGGAACCGGTCCACCCCTAGATACAAAAGAGAGCAACAACCCATCCAAACATAGCAGTAGCTTAACAAAAAGTGTGCAGAACAAATCAGTCACCACCACAAAAGCTAACGACTAGCTAACTTACAAAAGCAATAGCAGCTTCACAAAAAGATGCACCTCTGGCAGAAACTTCAGCAGCAAGGGGCAAAAATAAAAATAAAAACAAAATATCTCCACATCTGGAGGCAAACTGTTAGAAATGCATCATTTTACAACATAAATATATACAAAATTTGGATATTGTTGTTGGCAGTAGCTGACAAAAAAGAGCTAAATACAGCAAGCATATACAGGAGGAGGTTGCAGTTGTAATCAGGATAACTTGAAAGGATCCCTGTGGGGCATCAGCTCTTCACCATCTGGCACCAAATCTAACATAACCTGCCAGTTAAATTGTGAAGTGTATATATTATCTTCTTATCATTACTGTTAAACCATCTGTCACCTTAATCCCACTCACATTAGTATCATATTTTCATTTTAATCTAACCCTGAAAGGATTTTATTTAGACGCATCTCCAAAGGCCTCTTAAGATTTCAATATCAAATTTAGACTTAAAAGTTCACCCTAAAAGTTTAAACTATGGCAAGAAATCTAAGGCCTTGTAGGTTAAATTATACATAGTAGATTAATCCGATGTGAAATGGCGTAAATGCGTCACACAATATCCCTAATCAAGAAAAAGTAACCCTCTACTTGTTTCCACAAACTATTCATCAAAATATAATCAGACATGTGAGCCACTACCTTCCAATCTATGTAATCAAATCTGAAGATTGAATTCTGGTACGGCTCATTGGTAGGAAGAACCACACATGCTGCTGCTGCATCACTTGTAGCTGTAAACATAAGAAAATAACAGGTAAAGAGGATAAGATTGAACTAAATACTTAATAAGTTGAATACAGTGAATATGGGATTATTTATCTTACAGACGATATAAGAGCCGTTCTCAGCCAATCTTATAGCAATCCGTCCGTCATTTACCAAGAAAGAAAGCACAAATATATTTTCAATGGTCTGTGCATAGGAAATCCTGTTAAGGACAAGATTCTCAAGCTTGACACATTTATTCTCTTTTATGGCCACAAACATTGATGAAACATTCGCTTCAGTATTTGACTTCCACTCAGCAGTACTATCAAGGAGCTGTAGAAAGAAAAAAGGGAATGCATGACGAAACCGATAATTGACTATATATAGATTGTTCAGCTAGAAAAGAAAACTATAGAAATGAAAGTAAATCTAGACATTTCTCTTAAAATCACTTGACTAAATGATCCCCAAGTCTTACTCAAAGAGGTGAGGTTTATGGCACACTTTGATAAGACATTCCCCATGGGTCAAATACAACACTATAAACTCTTATTATGTTGGCCTTTTAGAATCAAATATCAAGTCTTAATACGGTAATACACTTCTATATTAAACTCATATGAAATAGACAAAAGAAACGGGTTGCAAGGAAGAGGGAAAAAAACCTTCACCGGGCGAACATAAGGAGTACATCTTGTTTTCTTAATCTCATTTCTGATCCCCCTATGCTTGATAACATAATTCAGTGTGTCAGGCTTGATCATACAATATACTGGTTCAAGCTTTATCTTGTAACTCATTGGTCCAACCCTGAGAAAGAATGCCACCAATTCACTTACAATGTCAGAAAAGACGGTTTTGCTCCCC